CATGGCCACAGGAAAGATGCCAAGCAAATACTAATTGGTGGCTAACTCGCTGTTAGCTCTTAACTATGCTGTAAAAATGAATAATCGTGTTATGCTAAACACTTGTGACAGACCAGTGGGCCTTGTGCCTGCTTTATATGCAAATGTTTTCTCCACTATTTTTAATGACTGGCTAAGCTTGATCATCACTGGCAGATAGGCTTCTTCTCTACTCAGATATATCTAAGCAAAAGGGCGTGAACCAAATTGAAATGTTTTCATCATATTACAAGTTTATTTCTTTTTTTGGGAATCCATTTTTTGGTTCACACGCGACTAAAAGGCAACGAAACAGATATAACGTATAAAATGAAAATGAAATACGAAAAATTTTAATACAATTTAATTTGCTACCATTTTTTTTAATGCACTGCCCCTCGCCAGTTGACATTCACATTTTCATTTCGCGTAATTACAGACCAACCCGATACGAAGTTAACCAAGCCGAAGGGGTCTCCCCGAAAACGGGGTCACATGGCCAGCTCCTGCTCACTGGGCATGCTCATCCAGTCCAGTTCCTTGGGTATAATTAGACCTGAAAGCATATTTGTCAAGTTTCGGTTTCAGTCCCGGGGATCTGGCTGCGGATCGTCGTCCAGATCAACAGGATGCGATATGTTAATGACACAAGGTTTTTGGCTTGGGGAGCGCAACTGAATTGAGTAATTGTTAAATTGCGAAAAAGTCAGAGGGAGCTGGATAAATTGAATTTTGGTCAAATGCTGGGGTGAGGTGGCCAAAGAAATTCAATTAGAGTGCTCTTTGAGTTTTACAAACAGCTTAAGTATTTGCTTCCTATTTACTTTATCTTTGGGAAGCTATGTCTAAGGAACATCCGCTAATAAAAATGAATGAAATCCTAAATCAGTGAATGGTTTCAATATTAAACCAAAGTTCTATTTTTCAGTTTCTCGCAGATTCGAAAATGTAGTACTAAATCTTTAAATTTCCCACATAATCGAATATGCGAAATGCCAGATGTCCACAACAAGTTTTACCAACTTAATTGACTTTTTGTTAACAATTCTGCTGAAAAAAGTGGTAATAAAAACCAAAAGCAAAGCTTAAGGAAGGATAAGCAAGGCAAGATCGAATTTGCAAATACGCTAATCGGTCTCTAGAGACTTTTTTAAAAGAATATTTAAGTTGAATGTTTTTATAGAGTAAAAATACGAATCTCTTCGGTTCCTCAGTTAACGAAAATATAAATAAAAGGTTTATCTAAGATACTCTTACTGACTTATTACAAAGTCTTAGCAACAGTAATACTCTACGTAAGGGTATATCCCAGCAAACGAACGTGAACCACAACTAATTCAATAATGAACACATATCAATAAACACACAGTGCAGCTGTGGACAAGTGACTTGGCCGGGCTTTCAAAAACACTAAACACGAGCTTCCAAGATGCCCCAAGCAGGCAACAATTTGTGCAAAAAATAAATGTAGAAAAACAAACAGAGCGCAGCATGTTGCCTGACAGGAGTAGCAGGAACAAAAACCCACCAACAGCAACAATAATTAAAAGAAAAAAATTTAATTGATGCATTAAAGCTGGTAACGTGTTTTCCACTCGGTTCCCGGGCAAGTTTTTTCATCGACTTTCAGCTAGAGAGATGACTGCCTCGTCTGCACTATTTTTAACTGGCTAGGACCTCAACAGGTTGAAGAGCAGAGCTCATTATGTTAGGTACTGCCAGTCGTGGCATGTTGTTTCAAATATTTACATTAAAATTGTTTGCATTTACCAGACGGATGTTCCCCCTGGGCGGCGGATATCTTAGGTTTTTACTCTAAGCATTTTTGGAATTGCAATTTGCTGGCTTAAAGTTTCCAAAGAGTTGTAAAAACAAATGACTTAGACAACGAACTTGGGATGAAGGGACTGGGTAGTAGCTTCAAGTAATATCTGCTTACTTCAGCTTGAATGCCTCGGTGTAGTACTTTATTTTTCGACATTGACATTGACAACAGCCGCCTAAAAAACAATCAAAGGACATCTGCCCCGCCAACAAAGTTCGCTCCACGCACCGTCATTATATCCATTATACGCAGCTATATAGAGAGAATGAAACGTTGACTTTGTCTAAGATAAATTGAATTAGAGACGCCAAACGCTCACATTCATCATCCATCCGGCCTGGGGGATGGGGACATATGATGGATAGTCGCTAGGGGGATGTACGAAGACCTTAAAAAACCCAAAGATCTTCTTAGACCGACACCGAGGCCGTACCCTCGCAGACAAATAGTAGGAGTAGACATTTTAATTTCCCGAAAATAGACTGCCAGATGAATGGCATTCTCCTGGCCTCTGAGGGTTCATCCCATTTCTTTCTTCTGTTCTTCTTAAGTGGCAGGGAAACTAGAGCAGCCTGCGTATTCTTCGTTTTTTAAGGATGACCTGGAAGGACTAAGCCGCTCGTTCGGATGCGTAGGCTGCGTTTGAAAGGATTGGAACTTGGTTTTCCCCCTTTTCATGTCTCGCTTTTGAAGAAAATTAAATCCTTTTGCTTATTTTTTCAAGGTGTGGCCATGCAATCTGCAGTCTTCCCGGCTCGGCTCCGTTCCATGTTTTTATTATTGTCTTGATTTATAGACCACGGAACATCTTTGCAGGATTAGGTTGGAAGGAAAATGCCAAAGAATGGAAGGAAAGGATTCAAGTCAGGCTTCTTGCGGCTTATTAGTTGCGCTGGATTAAATCGCAAGAAGGGATTGAGCTCGTTTTTGGGCTGTGCCTGCTGCGAGCACGGAAGCAGCTGCAAAAAGGATTAACTACCATTTTTAGGGGTCCTTAAAAGTTCCCGACTAAAGTAGTTATGTATCTATATAAGCTCCATACTCCACTAAACTTATCAACAGACGCCAATGAGCCAGACCAACCCGCTGCCGGCTTTTCAACTATTTTCTTTTCCTGCATCAACCACAACAACCTCACAGTCAGTAGCAGACGACCACGATTGAAATGCTGTTTGTGATTTTTAATTGAGGAAAAAACGAGAATTATTGCATGCCTTCGGACATCGAAGCATTGATCACCCTTTCAGATGGGATTTTTGTTTAATTTTAACCAGGATATGGAGATGTAAGAGATGATGAACTTGGTAAGATATTTTTAAAGATTATTGAAAAAAAGTAACAAAAAATATTTTATGTCGGTATACAAATTTATTTTATTTCATGATAACACTAGTTTATTTCAAAATGCAATCAACACGAGCCAGAAAATTATTTCCATATTTATACACATTTTTATTTCCACTTTTAAGTTATTTTGTTTTAAATTAAAATCGAAATACTTAAGCAAAGGCTTTTAAAAAGGGTATCAGATTGTGATAACCTGGACCCTCAAAGTTGTACTTCAGATTCATTTTCGATCTCTGGATGGATGCTAATTAATAAACGCACTGCCCCAAGTACGCTGGGATACATCCAGGGGCGGAGTGGGAGGTAGGCAAGCGACTGGTTGCTCGACGCCGCCTCAGATGCCACTTGGCATAAATGCACACTTTTAACATTTCTCGGATTCTCCAACTGCAGCGACTACGGGCGAAACGTGCATCTTATGACAGTTCGCCAATGTCGCCAACAGGCCGCCGGCGACTCAGAGAAGAAGAAAAAAATAGCAACAGAAAGGAAAACAAGTTGCAGTAGGAATATTAAGAATTGTCATATTGAAAAGTCAAAGATGCCAGGAGAGTCAATGCCAAGCTACTGCCGCAGTCGCAACGGAAAGAAAAAGCTAATGATAGGGTATGACCGAAGATTAAAATACTCTTGGAAAAGTTTTTCACAAGATGTTAAAATGTATATAACTTGTTTAAATAATATGTGTAGTCTTCTGATATTATACAAGGATTGTTAAATTAATATCAGTCCATATTTTTGAACTTTAAAATATTTTACTGATTATTTCCTTCTATTTTTCCGTAATCAAGATCCCTGATACAGTAGTTACTTTCCACATTCCTTTAAGAGTATATCAAAACAAAATCCTGTCTAGCGGGTTCAGCTCGTTTGTATCTGTGTTGATTTTTGTATTTTTGAGTTATTGTTTGTGAGAGAAGCGTGTCCTGTTTAATTTATAAGACTGCTTGCTATCTTAGCATAATTCCGCCGTTATAAACTAATAATATGTATAAGTTTTACTACAAAATCATAAACTGAAGAAACCTTTTTGTACCGGGGAATCATGCTGCGTAACTAATTGCCGAAATGACAATGATTTCAGCGCCCTTCTGAGCTTCGCTTTCTCACACAGTTTTTCCCATTTTCCTTAATTTAATTACGAGTTTTATTTGACTGCGTATGGCTCGATTGTTGAGCTAATTTCGACGCGTCGGCGGTGTTGATTACCACAGAAATTTGTTTGACTTGAAACAAATTTTTTATTACGCCTCTCATTTGATGGTTTCTGTTTCCGCAGTTTCCAATTATTTCGACGGCTGATGCGTGAATACCTTCGTTCCGAATGTCTTGGCCAACGAACTCGAAGGCGATCTAAACTCGGGCCTAATGCGACAAGTGTCAACGGAAGCTCTCAAACAGTTTTACAAGTTTATTAATTTATGATTGCAGTGGTTATTAAAATGCAGATATTTTGTTTACTAATTAACAGAACAGCCATGGGGGTGGGAAAAGTATCATAAAAATAATAAAATGTTAAATTACTTTGTCTCTGCAACGATGGTCCCTCAGGGCCCTAATGTATGTATTCCTTTTAATATCATAAATCAATAATTTAACATTAAATAGAAATTAATGTATATTTCATTGGAAATTTGAAATGGTAGTGAAGTTCGGCTGAAACCCTGAAGGGCCCAATTTAACCTCATTAAACTAAATTGCCCCTAAAATAAACGGAAAATGATTAGGATTTTAATGGAAAGTTGAAAAGTAAACAAGAATAAACTTTATATTTTAAGTCCAGACATAAAAAAAACTTCAAGTATTAAAAAATATCTTGATTTTTATTATTTCTAGTCTTTCAAAAATAGTTATAATTTCATGGATTTAATCCTGTCCGCCGCCGAAATGAGATCCTGTCGAAGGACTGGGTGCCCGACTTGTGGCCGGACTGCTTCCAGGGGGCGTGGCATCTGGACTTCTACCCAATGGCACCAGCAATGGACCCATGGGTCGGCGGGCACGTGGAGCTCCGCGAGTTCCTCGACTCACAGGCGTGGCGGTTTTAGAGCGGGGTCGTCCAGGTCCGCGTTTAGAGGTTACTCCTGGCGTTTGTCCAGATGGACTAGCTCCAAAGTCTATGGGGAGAAAAAGGGTGAGTTTCTTACAAGATCTTTTAAGGAAAAGGTAATAAAATGAACTCTACTCTAACCGAGTTAATTTTCATATTATTTTTAATACTTTTTAAAAAATTGTATAAAAACGAGTTTCGATATATAACTAATTATTCTGGAGAACTGAGTATCATTAAAAATTCTCCAAATTGAATGCCGAAAATTACAAAAGTTGCATCTGCCATCGAAAAGTTGTACAGATTCCATTAGTTGAATGGAAAACGAGGCGATCAAGTTGAACAAAGGATAAGCAACTTTCTTGCTAATTCCACAGGCATTTGCCACTGCACGTTTCATCGTATCCTGGCATTTACTCGTTTCCTCCTCCCCTTTGCAAATGGATGCAATTGTGGTTTTTTTAATTGCCAAAAGTCCACCCAAAAACATTCTGGCCCTCCTTCCTTCCTCCTGGCCAAGTGTAATTTATGCAACGTTGCGTATTTGCCATTGCGATTATGTCTCCATTTTCGGCCAACAGCAGAGGAACGTGTTCCTGTCACGTGTGCCCCGCTCCCCTTGTCTGGCGTCTGGGATTTTAAGCGGATTTATTCAATTATCATTTGTCGTGCGCCTGAAAATCCAACTGAAAATTGCCACATTGTTGCAGTATTCTTCTCCCTTTTAAAACAAATTTGTTGGACTTTAAATTCGGAAAATTTGCTATATCGCAGATACAAACTATTATTTCCGGAATTATGAATCAACTTTGCTAGTAATCTCTGCCTAGTTACGTGTTCTTGGAAATGGGCAAGGCATTAATGTTTATGTTAGTTGTTATTTTCATTTTCCACAAGTCAATTTGAAAAGTAAGGAAGTGACAAGGGGAATTGATAATGCAGCCAGATGTAAATCTTTAAACAAATATTTGGCTTGACTTGAAAAGGGGAGCAATTTCAAGAAACTTTTTATCTGACTTGAAAGGGGGGAAACATTGAAAATGTTAATGTAATGTATAAAAACGCCTGGTTACCGCGCTAAAATTGTCACGTACCACAAAGTGGATGCATTATTCCTGCGGGCTGTAATCGAGACATATCCGAAAAAACAAAAAAAAAACTGAAAAACTGAATAAAACGAAAGGGGGACCGGTAGATCAACCACAAAGTAATATGGAGATAATACCAACGCCACGGGGGGAGGGTCTGAGTACCCGAAAATACTTGTTCCGGAAAAGGCAGCGATAAACGTGATTATGACAAGCGATTAGCGACAAGTGACACTCGATTCAAAAGAGGGGGGAATCCTTGCGGAGGGTTAATTTTTGAGGAGTGTGAGTTGCGTGACGGAAGGAAACTTCTTTGCACTGGAAGAAACGTCTGGGAAACTATCTTGAATTGGAGAACTTTTATAATTTGGTGTACAAATTTCTTCTTAGTATTTTGGAATCTAACGAGCTCGTAATTTTATGGTAATTCTAATAATCCCAAACAATTTCTTCAAGTGCACTTACCATCTTCGTTAAACGAGACGCCGGCGTTGTCGCCACCGCCGCTTACTTCCTGCTGCGGCAGGGGTGAAGGAGTACCCATTCCCGCTCTTGTTCCCGCTGCTGCCTGCGTCGGCGTTCCCGGTACCGCTGCTGACGTTGGCGTTTGCGTCGGCGTTAGCACGCGCGGGATCGAGCCGTGTCCGCCGCCGCGCCGCGTGCTGCCCCTTGGACGTCCTCGTTTGGTGCCGCGCGGGTGGTGACGTCGCCGCATCGGCGAAATACCGCTCAGGTCGCCAAGGAAGTCTGCAAGAAAAAGAAAAGGAAGGGAAATTTATAGGTGACTTGGTATTGATTAATTGCGGTCGCAGGGAAACCACACAAACATCTGGCCCAATATATAACCTAAAACAAACATTAAAATTGGGAGTTTCGTTACATTTACCACAATTTTATGGCTTGCAACCCAAATGCTTAATTAATGTAGAAGGCCGGCTGCTTGATGGGGGATCCTAAAAAATGAAAGATCTCTCCGAACTGCCGTCACCCACTATTATCCAGCAGCATCGTTATTTGTGCCATGACCATATTCGCGCTTTTAACGTGTTACTTTTTATGCCCCAGAGACAATGGCAGAATGGCAGCCAGAAACAAGTTCAACTTTTAACGTGGCCCAGACTCCATCGAAATTGCAAGGGAAAAATACGCCAAGTGCCATATTTCCATATTATAATTCTTAACCCATTGATGGACATTGTCATTAAAGGATACAAATGTTACAAAGGGTTATATTTAAAGGTGGTAAAAATGTACTTTTAAATCATTTCTATGTAAATTACACAGGTAAACAAAATATTTTAAACCAGGGTACAAGTAAAAAATATTTAAATATTTTTATTCAAATTTATATTTAAAGAATCGAATAATTTAAAGGCAATAAAATCATTTTCACACTCACTTTTTCTATATAAATGCATGTCCCTTAACTTCAACTCAAAAATCAAGACCTATAGGGTTAAACACACACATATCTATACATTTCAATAGTTATATGTCACCGACTTTAGATGGCTTAACTGTAAATTGTATAAATAAAACAGAGACAACAAACAAATAAACAACGACGGGCTGCAAAAAAAAACAGAAACGTTGCAATCAGCGGGCAGACGAACATTGTCAGACAACAATGTTGTTGTTCTACTGGTTCTATTTCCCCAGTTGTTGTTGTTTTTGTTAGTTACGAGTGTATCTTGTCTAGAGTTTGGCGACAATACCTGGCGCTCTGCTATTTCGGTATGCAACGCACACAAGTGCCAACAGCATCATCATCATGATCATTGGCATCACAATCCCATGATCATCACATCAGGATCGATCATTATTGTCTAGCCAGTGGAGTGATCATCGCCATCGACAGTCGCCAGAGGAATTGTCTACAAGACACCTAAGTCCTAACAAACTACAAATATATATAGTAAAGAGAGAGGCCTAGAGCACTCTGTCTCCTTTTAATGATAGGGTTTACTTTTACTGTTACAACGAGAACGAGAACGCCAATGCAATATTATTGAACTGAACTTTGGATTCCAGCCATAAGTTTTATCAATAATATTCAATCCAAGGCAATTCACACAGACCAGAAAAGGGTTTCCTCGCCTATTCACTTTTTTTTTGGCAATTTGTTCTTGGTTTGTTGTTGCTTTTGGCATGTATTTCGGTCAAACGTCGCGGCATTGCAGCAAAACATCAAAAACAACACCAGCCAAAAGCAAAGTTTCGCTTTTTAGCATAATTCAGCTGTCATTTGGGGGCAAGGGGTATATGCTGGAAAATACCAGGCTAAATGGAAATGTTGAGCTTGATGAATGAAGTCTAGCTGGGACTAAGCTCGACGATTAGGGACTGACAGTTGAATAGAAGGGTTAAAAATGGCCTGTTATGGGTTACTTTGGTAAGGGAGATTTCATTTTAAATTTTTAAAGAGTTTACTTTGTCTGCTTTAATATTAACTACTTGCTTTATCATCATTGTAATGTAAAAGTTATTAGTTTGGCCTTAATGATATATCCACTAAATGACACTAAAACCTTCACCTCATTTCAAGTCGAAAGGACTTTTTTTAACCCTTTGAAAAATTCTCCAAAACATCCTATGACATTACTCCCCTCATCCACCCATCGAACTTCAGCCTATACTATCAATAGTTAGTACATTCCCTTCGCTCTAGTTGAATATTTATGAATGTAATAAATATTTTCGCTTTTGTTTGATTCGCCTGCTGTTTGTCGGTTACATTTACTTCGTCTGGGCCCTCTCTTCATATTGCCAATTGACACGAAAGGCCAAAAAAGAAATTACAACAACGGAATTGCAGTCGGAAAAATATGACAAAAAACAACGAGAAGGAAGTAAAAAATAAGCAGCAGAGGAGAATGAGAATGAGAAGCTCAGCTGAGGAGGAAAAAGAATCCGGCGAGCATAATCGGATTTCACAAATCATTCATTCAATTATCTAATTGATTTGACTGATGATCATTTGTGAACCTTGATCCTAGCTCCCTGAGCCCAGGAGCCCGGTGCCAGAGGCAATGTGACGCATGTTTGTTACGCCTGATAAACGAAGTGAAAGAAGGGAATCTCGGCTTGAAAGGCCTCACCTTTGACTGTAATGCGCTGGCCATGACTAAGTGGCTCTTTGGATGGCTCCTTGGCACCGGGCACCAAGTTCTCTCGCCTCTTCCTTAACAGATTTGCAGGCTTAGATTACATTTCGCTTGTTGTTATTGCCGGCTACTGTAAGCCATAAAAAGTCAAATAAATTGCGATTCCTATCTGTGTGAAATTGTTAATTTTTTAACGGATTTGCCAAAGTCGGCAGCCATCCAAATGGGAATTGAACCTTTAAAATAAGAAGTTATTGCAGCAACCTTAGTTTGGTTTGGTTTTTGAAATCCTTAACTGATATATTCTAGTTAAAAGCTACTTCGTAATTCAAAGTTTGAGTTTGAGAACTTTTAGAAAATACCGAATTAGATTATCATATATTTGAAATCATAAATAATTATCTTGGATTCTAAACAGCTACTTTGGACACCATATAACACCGTATTACATATAAAAGTACTCGAATTCGGGCCGTGACACCGGCTTGGAAAGGTAGAGCAATCTGATTTGGTGAAGGCGCCATCCTTGGGGAGTAAACTTCTTCCTCGGCGGGGGTTTCACATCCAGATAATCGTAGATATGTTCAGGATGAATGCAATGTGGTGGGAATTGAGGCGTGATCTTTGGTTTCGAAAGGTTAAGAATACGTGGACTAATGGTGGCTTTGAGAGCAGCCCTACGAATGGGAAACCGAAGCTCTGCCCACCATTTATCCTCGATATCGGCGTTGAAGAAACAGCAGGGTTTCTGTGGTGGCTTGAAGGGTCGTCCTTTGTCATGAAGGGGTGGCTGTCCCCACACAATTACCGGAGAGTAGGTGTGAATCGGATAGATGTACTGATGCTTTGGAGTCTTCTTACGCTCCAGAGGCGTAGACAGCTTCACTACCCTCCCCTGGAAGTCTTCAGGATCGATTATGCGTGGTTTCCTAGCGCATGGCAAATACTTTTCACGACAGGGTAATGGCTTCTTTACGGGCACTGGCAGCTCCTTTGGCATAGCTCTGGTGGCTGCCCACTCGCAGAACTCTTTCCATTGGGCCTTCTTCATAGGTCCTGGTAACTGCCATCGGGTTAGACAGCGCCTCTCCCTATACAAACGCCGCTGGATAGGACGGGAATTCTTCTCGACCCATTCTACCCAACTAGGTGGTGGCTTCTCCACGCTGATGATGCTCGCCTTGTTCTCATCCGGCAAGATGCTCATTTTGGCCCGATTTACGATTTAAAATATATAACTTTAAATTTTGTAATGGGTCTAACATAAAAAAAAAACAATTTTTGTGTTCCTCAGGCGATGGTTCTAATAAAAATAGTAAAGAATATAACAAGTTGGGGGATAAAATCAAAATGATGCTTAGAGAGGCGCCTACTGGGACTAAGCTTTGGAAAATGACACTTTTCTAATTTAAGGCTAGTATATAATAATTCTAACTTAGCATAAATATATAAAATCTGTTCTTTATAGAGCTCAAAATGTACTTTAATAAACTAATTTCGAATTGGACAAATACAGATATCACCACAGGTGCGATTCAAGAAGTCGAAGTTCTTTCTCAAAACCGGCTTGGACAGATAAAGCAATCGCATCTGGTGCAGTCGCCAGCCCCTCTTAGTAAACTTCTTTCTACGTGGCGGCGGAACTTCCAAAGGTTTTAAAGTCCCTTTCAGGAATAGGACAATGCGGAATGGGTGGATATTGCCGTGGTTTGGACAGAGTCAAAAGGCGAGGTGTAACCTTTCCGTTGAGGGCTGCCTGACGGACGGGAAATCTTAGTTGCGCCCAGAACTCCCCCTTCAGCTCGTCGGTTATGAAACAGTTGGGGACATGGGGTGGTTTAAAGGGTCTGCCAGGATCACGATGCGGTGGCTTACCCCAAGAGATCACCGGGGAGTACGTAGGCGGTCGCTCCGGCATACGATACTTCTTGGTGATCTTTCGGGGTTTTGCCAATTTCAACATCCTTTCCTGCAGCTCATACTTGTCCAGTTTCCGCTTCTTTCGAGCACAAGGCAGGTAAGGTGCCTCGCAGGGGTATTTATCAGGTTTCGGGAGCTCTGGATTTCTAGGCTGTGTTCGAAAGGCAGCCCAGGCACAGAAGTGCTTCCAGTCCTTCTTCGTCATTGGACCTTTCTTCTGCCATTTGGTTAACTTTCTAGCCTTAGCTTTTCTAAAACGCTTCACCGGCTTTGAGTTCCGATCACACCAGGCCACCCAAGAAGGCTGTGTCTGTCTTGCCTTTGTTTTTGGCATTAATGTTTCCGCTTCAAGGTGTTCCATGAAAATTTCGGACTCTATATGACCTATCGAGGGGCGCGAACTCTTCGTTTTGCCCAAATTGGTTCCAAAGTTGTCATACGCCATTTTTCTAAATTTATAACTCTACTTTTTTTTAATAATTTTGAAGCTTCTGGTTATTGGAAGACAACTACGAGGGACTACAGAAAGCCTACTTCCTAAACACTGAAAGTGGCGTTGTTAAAATGACGGTTATTTATTATAAATTTAAATAAATTCAGGTTTAGTCACACTGATTAATCCTATGCTACAGTTCTTTTAACTAAATAGTTAATTCACACTAGTTAACCGATCTATAGTTTAGGATTAATCTTGATGGTCACGTCGACAACAGCACACCATCCGCGGAGGCAAAATCCTTGGTTTTGGTTTGGAAAGGAACTCAAGGCGCTGCAAATGGATTCGCCACTGCCGCGGAGACATTTTCTGGCTTTTGGGTTTGTGGTTCTCGTAACTGTTGGGCCAAGAACAGTGGGTTTTAGGTGGAAACTGGCGTGGTTCGGCCAGTTCACAGATCTTCCTGCTGGGTGTAGCTGTGAGAGCCCTCCGTGAGATAGGAAACCTAATCTTTGCCCAAAAGTCTGTCTCCAAATCCTCGTGCTGAAAGCAACACGGAACAAATGGCTTCTTTACGGGCCTACCAGGTTCCGGACTTGGTTTCTTCCGACCACTGAGTTGCGGTCTATAGGGAAACTGCTTTGGGGGCGGGTGAATGTGCTTTTTGCGTTGCCATTTTGGAATAGTCAAACGATCTTGATTCTCCCTCAGAGTTTTAACCTCCTCGGTAGTCAGTTTCTTAACTTTTTCTTTTCTAGAGGAAATTAAAGGTACTTTAAATTAACTTTTTCTTGATCTGTGTAAATCATGATCCAAGAAAGGAATATTAAGAAATAAAATAAATAAAAAACTCAAGTATAACATAATAAATAAAAAGTGATACAATAGTACTTTTCGGCAAAGAGGTTTTCTCAATACGAGAGAAAAAACCTTTTCACTAATTTGAGAGCTTTTAAAATGGGCATTTACCTGGCTTCTTTCTGCTTGCCACCCAGCAATCTTAGTGCTTTATGCAGTTCTACATTTTTTTGATAACTACTGTGAAAGTTGGCCCACTCATTTCGGCCCATCGGTCCCGGTCTTTGCCATCGTGTTGGTTCCGGCCGAGCGACGGGAGTGAGATTCAGAGACTTCGGTTTCGAGTTCCTTTCACACCACTCCTTCGTCGAAGCCCGCAGTCTTTTTACGGCCGGCATTCTGCCCCACCTTTTTATAATTTTGATATAATTTCGATTTAGTCTGTTGACCGAGAAAAGTTCCAAATGGTTTACTTCTAAATTTTCTTTTTTTGTGAATTTTTATTAGGCGCTTTTTGTTTTTTCCATAGATTTTTAGTAACATTTTGGCATAGCTTTTCATCTTTTATAGTTTGAGAAACGTTTTGAATTAATTTCGAAATTTCTTACATTTTTATTGAACTGAAAATTAAATCGAGGACTACTTAAATTATTTCATTTCTGTAACTTTATCACCGATTTAAAACACTTAACCAAAGTAAACGGGTTTTAAATCCTCTTTAAAGGAGTGATTTTCTTGTTATTTCCTAGACAATAGAATTGTAGCTTTGAAAAAAGACATTCCTTAAAATCAATTTTTCCAAGCATTTCTCTTGATCCCGAGACTAGAGGCACAATGCTTGAAAAATGTAGAAGATACTTGCAGCTTTTTTATGCCGCACTGAAACCCAAACGGCTCAATCACGAGCCCATGGTTCGATGAAAGCCAAAGGCTCCGCCAGGCAGATGCATTGCGGCATTGCCCGTGGCGACACGCATTCGAGGTCATAACCCAATTCCTTTCGTGGCCAGTTGGCGATGGCCAACTGCAGCAACTGTATTCCCCGCTTAGTGTCCACGACCGATGGGGTCCGCTCCTGGAGCCAATTGAAATTCGGTGCGCATTGCAATCGATCGCACTTTTTGTCCCGGTGATTGTCGTCTGCCTCTGCGATACTCGTTCTGGCCTTTCTAACGCTGTCTCCGCCTTCTGGCCAGGTTGGTTTCCAGTGGTAGTGGTAGTGGTGGTGGTGGTGGTCTCTGTTGGCCGTGTCGCCCATCTTCATCATCGTGTCGTCTTCGGCAGCGCGTTGTTGCATTTGATGAGGTTGCATTGATCATCATTGGGTTTCGCTGTTCACTGCCATTGTCATGATTTGTTGTCGCCACACAGAGATTTTTGTCTGGGTTTGCCGCATGAATTTTAAATTAAAGCCCAGTCACTGCAAGCATTTCACTGGACACTTCCGGGCCGGAACTTTTCAGCTGGATTAGCCCTAACAAGGACAAGGACTCAAAGAAGTCATCAATCTGGCGACCGCAAAGTGCTCATAACATGTGTGAAATTGACACCACAGATGCGACTCGAACTAACGGAAACGCCAGCAATTTTACGCTACATTTAGCTAATGACCAAAAACCCTGATGGCAGATGGTCCTGCCTTTCCCTTTTCCTGGTGGAGCCGTCTTCTAAAAAAACATATAGCAACACCCCAAAAAGAAATGACTTAAAAAAGGCATACACCAAAGTGGCATGAAGTATGTTCTTTTTTCGGGAGCCATTAAGGGTGCGTAATGGCAACGGAGTGTAATTGAAGGGCACTTATTTCATTTTTGGTTAAGGTAGTTTCTATCATTAAATTGGAACGTCATCGAATCGTTAAGGAAATGTGGGGTTACTGCTTAAGTTTTTTAAGATATTTAAGACTGGCTCTTTAAGACTCTTCACTAATTTTTGTTAAATATTTTAAATACAAATTGATCTGTAAAGATAGTTAAAATGCTTAACAAATTAAAAAGCTGTAAAAAATAAGCAATTCCCTGTCAAGCAAAATTAATTTTAATGGCAATCAATCAATTCTAAAATATTTAAAGCCCAACTATTTGATTTTTTCGTGCTGAAGCCAATTAAAAATTCACGGATTTAAATCCAGCCAATGCAAAGCCAAGGCACTCTGTTAAAAGCTAAATTCTTAAGCGGATTCGTTTCATTTTCACATTGCAAATATGATTAACCAATTTGAGTCAAAACCACTTTAATTTTAGAGCTTCGAGCCGGCCGGCTGACAAGTGGCCAACTGCAATTGCCAAAACGAATGTTGGTTGAGCCGGGTAGTTGGCTTGGAGTCGGGTTACCCGAGATCCGCGGCACGTACTTGCTATGGGCGCTATGGGGGCCAATAAGGTGTAAATTTATGCGCCAAAGTCCGGACTTTAGGCAACTTGGGCCGAAATCGAACCATTAGCAAACCGAGCCTAAGCAATTGATGATTGAATTCTTCAGAATGCTCAGTAAAACGCACATTTTTCGTATGCCTTCGAATGATTGGCATTCGAGAATTGTTTTTTTGTTTTCATTTTATGTTTGATTTTGTAATTACCTGTGTCTGTGTGAATTTTTGTGGCCAATCAAAGTTTTTGTTCGCAGTTTTGATTTGCTGCTAAGATTCGCGGCGTAATTGTATCTCATGGCTAACATGTATTCTATGAGATACTTTTTTGCCACTGTTCCCTGAGAGCTTCGATTTCTACGTCTGACTATACAGTATGTATATATTGTTAAACAAGTGTTTTGGTTTAATTATTTTCATGTCACACAAGCTTCGCTGACAAAGTGGACAAGGATCTTATGATCGATCTACAAGGGGCTGGGCTAATGAATATTTAATTTGGGCGGAGTAATGGCATCGTTTCGCCTTAGTTATGTTGCATTATGTTTCGATCATGTGAAAGTTGCACACACATTTGGCACGTGTCCCAATTGAATGGCATGCCACCAATTAAGAAATTTTTCCACTCTGGTGTTACACAAGACAATTAAATGGAATGGGAAAAAGTTGTTGCACGCACTGGGAAATTTGAATGATGGTGGCAAGAGAAAAATGTGGTCAATTGGAGGAAAGAAAAAAACAGTCCTGCTGTATAACATTAGGCTCGGTCTTCTCTAATCAACTTTTGTTTTACACAAAAAGAAAATTTGTTTTAAACTTTAAATTTATACTTAACAAGATTGATGAAATATTTACGTAGAAGAGCGGAAGCCTAACCACACGGTCTCTTCTAATTCTAGTAGGGAGTAGAAGTTTCTTAATAACAAAATATATATAAATAATTACACTTTATAAATATTTATTTCTCTGTACTTTATGTCTGGCCAAAGAATGCAGTTGAGTGAAACATCGCAGAAATAATTTAGTTACGCTTGGCTCACAAAGAAGTATTTGATTTGAAAGAATTACAACAGTAGAATGTCTAACTCTGGACTCATGACAATTCCTCATTTTGCTCGAGGCAGTAATAAACGGCAAATAAATGTCGGTTAACATTACGAAATCAAAACAACAAGAGCAACTCGTTTGGATTGGCAATTTATGTAGCCACAACACGTGAGCTCATTGATTAAATTAGCCAAGTCTTTTGGCCAAGCCCTGTGCACATAAAAAATTATTTATGAGTCGCAATTTGGTCTGTTTTCCTTTTTGTCTTTCTTTCCGTCTTTCTTCGACTTTCCTTTGCTTTTTTGTGGCATTTTAATGCTAAGCAAAAACCAAATACGAGTAGAAAAACAAAAATCAAATGCCAAGTGACAAGCGAACCAAACATAATCAACTTCGTCAACATTCAATTGGGTTGCCGAAGTCTGGGAAATCTGGCAGAAGTAATGCCAAAGTAGCTTTTCTAGGGGAAGTCTGTCCTTTCAGATCTTTACTTCAAGCCTTCAAAATTCTTATAACAAACTTTAAATCTTATCAATAACTCACTTTGATATTCGTGTTTAATATTTGGGATTTCGGTATTTCATTTTGGTAATTATAATTTTCTTAAGTATATTGGTTAAAATATATTACAATAGAGTTTATTTTAGAATAAAAAATTGTAGATAAATATTAAAAAAAAAAAAGTTTCTTGATCATATAAAGATCAAAAAAGGAAAATCACTGTATTTTTCACATCTAAAATTGTAGTTTTCCTTTTCTATTCCCACACTCCTTACAAACTGTTTTTCCAAACAAAAAACTTCTGCCATCACTGTCTCCTAAGAAGGGGAATCAGACAGGAGTTGAACTGGTAGTAGTCACTACACAACACAAATAACAACAACATCGGGTCGAAATGAAAACGTTATCAAACGACAGACGCGCTTTTGCAGTAACAAGATGAAACGGGGACATAGGCAAAATTAGCTGATTTCGCCAGTGAATTTGCAGGCCAATCAGTGAGTGTGCCACAATTTGGCCAACCAAACGGGCAAGAAACTGGTCAAGTCACAGATGCCATCAAAGCTGTTCCTGCCAGTCTCCTCCTCCTCCAGCAACTATTGCTGCTGTTACAAACGAGATACTTGGAACCACCAACTTGCAACTTGCAACTTCGATCTGCTGACGCTGCACTTGTCGCGATTTCACATCAGTTTGGCTTTTGCTGTTACTGTTGCTTTTTGCTCGTTGCCTACTTTTCAACGTCTTGTACTTTCGATTGGTTAATTGTTAAACAAATTTGAAATGTTTCTGCTTGGTAGTCACCTGGCCTCACCCCCTCCTTGGCCGGCTCCTCTTATCGTTTTCGAATGCAAATCGCATGAGCTAACAAGCTGAAATCGTTGCACATCCCACATGCAATTGGCAACTCATAACAGCCGACATGCTCTCAGTTTTTTTAGCCAAGTTATGTTGGTAGACCACATTTTCGACTGCCTCCATATTGCAGGTGATTACCAAATAATTTCAGTTATTAATCATTAAAGAAGTGATCGTTCCGCGGGAGGGAAATCCAACCAAAAGTCTCAAAACATTTGAATCAAGCTTAAGTTATGTGAAATGTCTTTGGATTAGGTGCTACCCACATACTTAAAGACTTTGTAAGTTTTATGGGTAAGTCGAAGTCGTAAATTTACAGTCAACACTTGGTAGAAACTAGTTCTTTTACTTAAATATTAAATTTGAAATATTAAATACCGGAATGATCAATAAAGTCTATAACTTATGATCTGAATTACTTAAACCCGAAACCCAACAAATAAAATCAATCGGTACTCACTCATGGATTCATTCTGTCCCATCAGCGTAGGGCTATCTCCATCCACCACCAAAGCCTCATTTTCGGATTCGTTGTCCATCTGCTGGACGCAAGTTGCTCCTGGCACATAGGTTTCCTGACTGAGGGTCGGATGATTGCTATCCGTGCCAACACTCGAGGCCGATGATGTAATACCCACGTCGATCAGGTCCTCATCCGGTTCCACTTTCAGGCGCTTTGCTGCCGAACTGCAACTGGGCACATCGTCGTCGGGGTATTGGGTTGATGTTGTGGCCGCGATGGTGGTGCCACCCATATTTACATCCTAAGACAATAAAAATAATATCATAAAAAAATGTTATACCTTAATTCCCAAATGTAACAATCAAATCAATTAGCATTTTAATGGCCAACGGAAATGAGATATATCTGCTGGTTTTCCTCAACAACGGTTGCTTATCGTTCGTATCTTCTAACTGGCCCAAGAATACTCCCCTTTTAAACCATTTATAATTTATGCCAAGTTATCTCTGTTAGCCCTTTTCCTCTCTCTGGTGTGTGGCATAAAAATCATTCATGCCAAACTTGGACAAACCTAAGACTTGAGTTATGGCCTGGTCAACCGGAGGGTTAGTGTTAAAAATGGGACGGATTCGGGGGTTGGAGGTGGGGCCTCTGGTAATTGCTATGCTTGAGGAAATTGTTGTTCGGAAGTAGGGTAAAGAGTTTTGCATACGTTTCGCCCAGATTTTGATAGCCAATTGCTGGGAAAACAGTAGCAATTTTCCAACATGCACTCAGCTGCTTGTTAAATCGCTCAAAAATTAATGATATTCATTGTTAGGGTTTAAGGTGAAATGGGAAAAAGTTGTGGCAGTTTAAAATCAAATTAACAGACATGTTCTACGTGAAAGATAATTAATATTCATGAATTGAAATTGAAATTATGAATACGGAAGTTTGTTGTACTTAGTTGGTAGTTAGTTTAACGTTTAGTTTCTATTAACTTTCTTGAATATTAAGGAGATAATCTTTAAGCTTGTGATCAAAAGAAAAGTTCTCAATTAGATTATTTACAATTTCTCCACCAATAAAACCAACTGGGCGTAAAGCACTCTCTCAAATTATATATTATTATATCAGTAAAGAAAATAAACCGTTCCATGGCAAACAACTGCGACACAAATCTTGCCAAGCTGAATCTGTTCCAAATGAATGCCTCTCACCGATCGAAAGGAACTCCACTTAACCTGGAAACATGAAAAGTACTATTCGCGCATTGGAAACTTGAACTTCCGACCGTAAATGAATTGACAAAATGGGAGATGAGGGGTTCGGGATATGAATGCGTGCCATTATAGCATTGTCTGTCTGTTGGTGTGGCATATGAACTTGAGTGGAGTACGACTACGAGTACAAGAGTACCCGACCAACTAAAAGGAGACGCAACACCACTGCTCAGTAGAACCAAAAACGGAGAGAAGCCACCAAGACGAAGACCCAGACCCATGGGCAGAAGAAGCTACATCAGCAGCACCAGACCATAATCAGTGTTCCATTGAACGCACAAAATCATTTAGCGAAACCAACAAAAACAAAAACAAAAACAAAAACAAAATACAAGAAACAAAGAAGAGTCCGGGCCCGAGTTTGGAGGTGGTTTGTAGTAGCAGAGCCTGCACCCCAAACCGAACCAATCCGATCCAAGCCAAAGCCAGCCGAAAAGCACTTGAAACTGTTTTTTAAAAAGAGTCTCCGAGAGACAGCGACTGCGAGTCCAAGTAGGGTAAAAGCAAAGTGTTTGCTTTGGAGAGTAAGTATGAACTGTCTACTAGGGAGAACTAGTACACTGAAAATAAAAAGAGCTACCTAAGTTGGATGTTGGGTTTCCACTAATGGAAACTTAATCAGTTAAGATCAGAAGTTATTAACCAAACGTAAAAAATTATGTAAAAAATCATCAGAAAATCTGTTTTTAATCCATGTTCTTAAGTGAATTTAGTTTTTTATATGTTTTGATGATTAATTTTCTCCATGTGTACGACACTTGGATGAATGAATATAGTCGGCTGGAAGTGCTAGTGGCTCATGGCTCATGGAGTAGGTTCAAAGCACGCTATGAAGCAGACCAAGACCAGCCAAGACGATGAGTTGAGTTTTGTAGCAAATTGAATTGTCTTTGTTGCAGTTTGTTAGTGTGTGTTCGTATGTGTGCTTGCTATGATGTTGCATGAATCACGTGACCATGACCACCAATGCAATGCCATAGGCCAAGAACAACATCCACTGCTGAGCCGGGCTTCTCCTCGCTTTTGCTCTCTGTATATGGACGCACTGGCAATTTGAACCTCACTCAAAAGATCATTTACTTTCATTAGGGGAGCGGAGACGAAACTTGTCGTGTAGCAAGTGCAAACTTGGTCTAATAAACAGCCATTAGGCAGTCCAGCCTGGATCATGCATAAAATGGCCCACAGATCGTTCGGTTTTAACAAGATTCTCTTTGGGGCAAATCTATCTCACCTTATTGGGATGACGTCTTTTCCGTTCGCCTTGAGAGCCGGCTGGAGTCGGTGAAGAGGACTGAAGTTTGGCCTCCTGGCGATCTAACAATATATAATAGAATAAATAAATCTTAATACGTTTCAAATAATCTTTAATCTACTCACATTTCATTTCAATTTCCTCATCATCCAAAAGCAATGAGACCACTTCCTTGGGCTTGAGAGTGTCGGGTTTGAAATTGCCGCCACTTATGACCATGCGTTGTATCTGAAATTCGGGGGAGAAAATATCAATATTCGATTGAATAAAATTAGAAATTCAAGGCAGGCAGGAAATGAAATAAAACTCGTACAAGAACAGGGATAGCGCCAAAGGGGTTACCCAAACTATTTATTTGTCGGCCCGAAATACTTTCATATGCTAATCAAGGGATTTCTGTTTTAGTAATTAAGCCAATAAATGCACAAGAAAACGTAGAAAGGAGTATTTACTCCAACTTATAGGGAAGCCAGGAGGCGTAACCAAAATGTCGCCTAACCAATTGTATAATTAATTTCCGGTGTTGGTTTACCAGCCCAAACCATTTTAATCCCATCTACAAGTGCTCGTGTTTCGCATTGAGCACTTCTTTTTCAGAAATCCAAAAGGCGCAACAATGCCTTGAGTTTTTTAAGGAGGGTTTTCAGTTTTTTATTCCCAACAAAGCACGTGCCTAATATGCGAGAGGTAACAAAGGGAAAACCGAGCAACTTGGAGAGTTTTGCGGTTTGGTTTTGGTGGGGTTTCCTGTTCCCCGATCGATCACTCACCTCGCTTTTTTCTCGGGCCCTCTGCAGAATCCTCTCCTCGATGGTTCCTTTGCAGATAAGTCGGTAGACAGTCACCTGTTTGGTTTGTCCTAAACGATGGGCTCGGTCCATGGCCTGTTGATCGACAGTGGGATTCCAGTCGGAGTCGTAAAAGATGACCTGAAAATTAAAGGAAATAGTTGGTTATAATAGTTAAATTTTGGTTTAAGTTTTTAATGTTTATAGCAATTTTAATAGAACATGGGAAGACCAGGAACTTCCTAATGGAATCTTCTGAATTGGTATGCAAATGCGGACACGCACATCCTTTCGCCATTCCTTTGATGATTTTGAGCCTGCATGTTTGGTAGTTTCTTCTACGAATTCGGCTACCCAATAAACCACTTTGTAGTGTCACGAATTTTTCGCTTTTCCTGTCTATTATCTGGAGTAGGAAAACTCCCGCCACCGGTGTTAACCCTTCGTTGCCCCCGTTGAGCCGCACTTGGTACGTGTTTGGTGTGCAAGTGTTCAGTAATTCTCTCGAGGGCTGTCTGGAGGGAGTGGCGTTTCCGGCTCTGAGATGGGACTAATTAAAATCGAACTGCTCAAGGGATTGATGTTTTCTTTCTTTTTATTTGGAACACGTGTTGAGCTCTTCTCAGGAGCCTAAGAAGGAAGTGGCCCATTGAAGAATCTATCTATCAAATGGAATAAATATTCAATTGAAAATATCGCACGGGAAGTCTGCCATTAGAAGAGTTTTGGAAGTAGAGGCGGTTCACTATTTTGCATAATATTTTAAGAATGATTTATTATTGAAATTCAATATTTACTTAGGAATTTCCTTTACTTTAAGTAATCAAACAGCACACATCTTCACTCTTAAAGACATTTCACTATTTTAAATTAGGCACTGCCCTTCTTTGTACAGTTCTGATTAGTTTCGCAAATTTAAGTATTTGTAATGCTCCATTAAAAATCAAGTCAAGGTATATAAGCTAATGACCCTTATTACTAGTTCACAGTAGTTACAGAAATGCATAAATGCAAACCCTTTTTATTTTATTTAAGTTGTTTAATTTTTAATATTCAATGCGAAAACGAAAACATTGAAATAAGATGGATTGAGCAAAAATTGGATCACTTTCATAAGGACTCGAGAACTTTTCGGATGGTAAGAAAATAATTATTATAACTTCCGAAATTCCTAAAAATCAAACACATTTTTAGAGATATTTGGTAAAAGAAGATTATTTCAAGCCAAATGGCACAATATTTTTCTTAATGGGTGGAGATGAATCAATTTTAACGCGTTCAAGCAATCTTTCAAATATCATGTTGACCAACAGTTATATTCACGACTTGGCTAAGAAATACGAAGGATATCTGATACACAGCGAACATCGTTACTATGGGGAAAGTAGGCCGACAAAGTGCGTAAATAGTTAAAATATTAGTATTTATAAAGGAAAATTATAAATCTTTTCATTTTTAGAGATCTGCACTTGAAATCCTTAAAATATCTATCAGTACCTCAGGCCCTGGCAGATGTGGCTGAACTAATTCGGTTTTTAAAATCAAATACAACATATTTTGGTGAATCCAAGGTATTTCTAGTAGGTGTAGAATACGCAGGTTTTATGGTCCCCTGGTTTGCCAAACACTATCACAGTTTGTTTGACCTAGGCTGGGCCTCCAGTGCCCCGTTTCAGTTTAAAACAGAATTATGGCAGTTCTACAAAAGAGTGTTCAACCTAATTAAAAAAATTGGTGGCAAGCAGTGTTATGATAACATAGCCCAAGGTTTTAAGAATCTTAAGACTGATATAAAAAATCATAATACTTCAAAACTTGTGGAATTGAATATTTGCGGCTTTGACATTAGAAATAATGTTCATACAAATAATTTATTTCAAAGATTAACCAAAACCTTCGGCACATTAGTGCAGTATAGAAGGTAAGTAAATGAGAGGAAAATAAATTATGAATTAAAACCATTTTTCTTATAGTGGAGAGGGAATTCAAAGAGCTTGCAATTACATTTCAAAATTCTCATTTTTCTCTTACCTTAACAAGAGAATGCAAGGGAGTTTAAAGAAGTGTTATGATACAGTTGGCCGTTTAGAGCTGCTACGGGACACCGAATATATCACAGATTCAAGTTGGCACTAAATATTATTTAAACTATTTCATTCAAAAAACTCTTCTTTTAGCTCGCCTTTGGTTTTACCAAGCTTGCGGTGAACTTGGAAACTTTCAAACCACTGATTACATTCCACTTGACTTTTGGACGGATTTGTGTGAAGATGTTTTTGGATATAGGTTTTCGAACTGTTTTACAGACAGAAAAGTGGAAGACACTGATATAAATTTTAAAGACTTGGAAAGTAATGAATACTACCACCGAATCTTTTTAACCCAACCAGAACTGGATGCCTGGTCAGCTATAAAAGTGAGAAAACACAATCGGACTTATGCTTTAAAAGGTGATTAGGTTGATTATTTAATAAATTACTAACCTATTCTAACTTGTTAAGGTGCAACTCACAGCGAGGATCTACAGGCGTCGACGGAGAATGAAAAGCCTTCTATAAAAATGTTAAGAATGGACATTGATTTTGAGGTGCAAAAACTACAAGCGAAAACCAAAGTCAAAACCAGTTAATTTTATTAATAAATAAAGAAATTAACAAACTGTTTCATAAGTTGGTAACGCCCTTTCTTAGAGTATAATCAAACACTAGTTAGTAATTGTACTACACCTTGTACAACCTTTATCACTTAACTCTATTACCTCAAGTCAAGTACCCTTAAATTGAGTGAGTGAAACCCAATGGCTGATAATCGAAACAGTCGTTGCGACCACAATACCACTCGATAAGACGCCGCACGGCTTTTAGCCTACCAACAATCTATTTAACCCAGTTTGACAATATTATTTACTGACTTTAAACCAGCTAATTAAGTTCTACGTTGGCGATAAGATTTTGCTTTGAGCTAAAGCAAGTGAATTAGCTGGCAAATAAGCCGTTAAAGTTTGATCAGTCTTATTCCAACACTCTGCGATCGACGATGAAGTTTTGGCTAGGAATTTCTTTGGCCTTATTGGCCTTGGGCCAAAGTCATGGTAGTATTTTTGAGAGGACCTTCAAAAGGATCCATGAAGAGCCACCACTGCCTTCTAATCAGAACCGAGCGGATGTAGTCCAGACCCTTTGGATTGAACAGAAATTGGATCATTTCGATTCGGCAGAGACGCGTACATGGCAAATGGTATATACAGAATACTTATATAATTTCTTTGGACGAAAATGTGGATTATGGGTTTTTGGATTAATCATCTACTATTTGATTAACCTCTTTTCAGCGTTATATGCTCAACGATGCTCTCTATCAGTCTGGTGCCCCACTATTTATTTATCTTGGAGGAGAATGGGCGATTTCTTCTGGTGCCATAACTGGTGGTCACATTTACGACATGGCCAAGGAGCACAATGCCCTTTTGGCCTACACCGAGCACCGCTACTATGGACAAAGCAAACCCTTGCCGTGAGTACTTCCTAAGTACAAGAAAGAGACCTTTAAGTAAATATTTTCCTTTTCAGTGATCTTTCCAATGAAAACATCAAGTATCTGAGTGTGAACCAATCCTTGGCTGATCTGGCTCATTTCATCAATACCATCAAGCAAACTCATCAAGGTCTGTCCGAGTCCAAGGTCGTTATTGTGGGTGGTTCCTACTCCGCCACAATGGTGACTTGGTTTAAGAAGCTCTATCCTGACCTAGTAGTTGGAGGTTGGGCTTCTAGTGCTCCGCTCTTTGCCAAGGTTAACTTTGTGGGTGAGTTTTTATGGTAATCTCTTATATAAGGTATATTATTTAAAAAATATTTTATTTCAATAGAATACAAGGAAGTGACTGGCCAATCCATTGAACAGATGGGTGGCTCTGCCTGCTATAACCGGATTGAGAACGGCATAGCCGAGATGGAGAGCATGATAGCCACCAAACGAGGAGCTGAGGTCAAGGCCCTGCTTAAGCTCTGCGAACCCTTCGATGTCTACAGCGATTTGGACGTGTGGACTTTGTTCAGCGAGATCTCCGATATCTTCGCGGGCGTAGTTCAGACTCACAAGTGAGTAAAAAGTTAAACATTTTGGGTTTAATAATAATTATTAACTCAATTTTAGTGCTGGTCAAATCGAGAGCGTTTGCCAAAAGATTATGGCTGGATCGAATGATCTTAATGGCGTTGCCGGCTATCTGTTGGATGAGTTCGAGGAGAGTGGTGGAAAGTGCTACGATCTGAGCTATGATGGTATTACTTCAGTGCTCCTGGACACTACTTACAATGGCAATATTAGTAAGTTAATACATAAAAGTAATTTAAAGTCGAAAACTAATATAATGTGGATTACAGTGCGCCAATGGATTTTCCAGACCTGCAATGAGTATGGTTGGTACCAGACTTCCGGCTCTAGTGCCCAGCCTTTTGGCACCAAGTTCCCTGTCACATATTACACGACCATGTGTGCCGATTTATATGGCTCTCAGTACAGCAATGAGTTTATTACCAACCAAGTGAGTATCACCAACCAGTATTTTGGTGGACTGTCTCCTGGCGTGGAAAATGTCTATCTAACCCATGGTCAGTTGGATCCCTGGAGAGCAATGGGAATTCAGGATACGGATCAGGCCACCATCATTCCAGGTGAGTTAAGAGCAGAATAATCTATGAACTGGATACTAATGACATGATCCTGCAGAATATGCCCATTGCAAGGACTTCAATTCAATCAGCTCCAGTGACACTGCTGAAATGAAGGCCTCAAAGGAACGCATCGCCGAGCTCGTTCGCGAATGGGTTAAATAATCGAAGTCAACGTGACCGCCAAATAAAAATCCCAATCTAAAATTAAATGAAAACATATGAACCAGCCTACAAACACCTCTGATAAATGAATCTAATCGAGTTAAGATAAGATTCTAACTAAATAAAAACGTATTAGTACCTACAAATTTATACTTTTATTTTACACTCATTTTATATGGAGATATCTCCCTATTGCATTAAAAGCTATCAATATATAAGAAGCATTGAACTAATATTTAACGAAAACTGCTCAGTTACTATACAATGACTTTGGCAAAATCTCACTGATTAGGTAATCATGTCAGAGCTGTGATTTTGATTGGCCTGCTATAAACGGGAATTTCCTACTAATCCCACAAAAGATTCACATAAGTTCTGATCGATTTATGATAGGCTGCAAATGTGAATTTCTAATCGCAACTTTGGAGGCTATCATATCTGGCCGATGGTCGCTGGTCACTTATCAAATATATGAAATTTACAATCCTTATCGTAGCCGCAAATTACTTTAGAACGCGACACGATTGACGGTTAACTTAAAAACCTAAATCGCACCCAATAGTTGGTTCATTTGTGAAAATGGCTGCTCTCCGTTTGGTCTGCCTTGCCGTTGTCTTGGCTCTAGGACTTGTCCATGCCTTGGACATTCCGAAAATTAAGGATGTGCCAGTTTTGGTCAAGACCCTTAATAACCTGAACCGTGGACCACCTAAGCAGGTGATGACCAAGCGCGTCAATGTTGAGGAGAAATGGATCACCCAGAAATTGGATAACTTTGACGAGAGCAACACGGAAACATATCAAATGGTAGGTAGATTATTCTCTTAATAATTTTGCAATTACTTTTTTAAACACTTCAAACTAAGATAAGATACAATGATACTTCAATTGTGTACTTTTCCAGCGTTATTTGGTTAACGATGAGTTCCTAACTGAGGGAAGTCCCATTTTCATTTACTTGGGTGGCGAATGGGAGATCGAGCAGAGCATGGTCAGCGCTGGTCATTGGTATGATATGGCCTCGGAACACAAGGGTGTTCTTGTCTACACCGAACATCGTTACTATGGTCAAAGTATACCCACTTCGTAAGTCATATTTAATCAATAATATAGCTATAGTCATAGTTAATAATTATGTTTTAGTACCATGTCCACGGAAAACCTTAAGTATCTGGATGTAAAGCAAGCTTTGGCTGATGTGGCCAAATTCATTGAGACCTTCAAGGCGGAGAATTCCCAGCTGGCCAACTCCAAGGTAATCCTGGCTGGAGGTTCCTACTCCGCTACCATGGTCGTGTGGTTCAAGCGTCTGTATCCTGAATTGATCGTCGGTGGCTGGGCCTCCAGTGCTCCTCTTCTGGCCAAGGTTGATTTCACCGAGTACAAGGAAGTGGTGGGACAGGCTTTCCTTCAGTTGGGAGGACAGCAGTGCTACAACAGGATTGAGAACGGAATCGCGGAGTTGGAGTCTCTGTTTGCCAACAAGCGTGGAGCTGAAGCCAGGGCCATGCTGCGTCTGTGCAATAGTTTCGACGATCAGAACGATCTTGATTTGTGGTCTCTGTTCAGTAGTATCTCAAATGTGTTTGCTGGCGTGGCGCAATACCAAAGGTAGGGATTTTATGACCAAGATATGGTTTGCTACTTTATAATACGAACATTACAGCTCCGGCGATATTGAGTACTACTGCGACTATCTATTGAGCTTCCGCGATGATGCCACGGCTATTTCTAACTTTGTTTACTGGGCCTGGGGAATGCCCACCTGTATTGATCCGTCCTATTCCAGCACTGTTGAGTATTATCTGTGGGGAGTGGAAAACTTTGGAGCTAGTATGTGACAAGTTCTGCAATCCCACAACAAAACCATAACCTTCCTTTCTTGACTTTTAGGTCGTCCTTGGTACTATCAGACTTGCAATGAGTACGGATGGTACCAGAGTTCTGGCTCCAGGAATCAACCATTCGGCACCAAATTCCCTGCCACTCTCTACACAACCCTTTGCGGCGATGTCTTCAGTTCCCATTATGGAAATGAACAGATCAACAACAATGCAGCCCAGACCAACGAGTACTTTGGTGGCATGGAGCCTGGAGTGGAGAATGTCTACATGACCCACGGAGCTCTAGATCCATGGAATCCCATGGGTCACGGAGTGGAGCAGGGAGCAACTCTTATTGCCAATGCCTCGCATTGTTCCGATTTCGGATCAATTAGAGCCACGGACTCCGCTGAAATGCGTGCCTCCAAGGAAAAACTTGCTGAATTGGTTCGCCAGTGGTTGGCTTAAGTTGCTAACCAAAAGTTGTTCATATTTGATATTATTTAATATAATAAATGAGTCAAAAACTCAAAAAAAATGTGTTTTGTATGCAATATTCATAAATTTTACATTTCGTATTAAACGCTAACCGAAATAATTATTTATTAATTATTTTCAACAATATATTAAAGGCTTTTGTATTTCTACCAAAAGTCCTTTCAAGATAAAAAGTTGTCTAAGATATAAAAAGAATATTAATCTCATTTTAAGGATTTAAGTTTAAAAATGGGTTTAATTTTAATCAGCACAAAAATGAATATTTTTTTTCGTATTTTAAAGTGTAAGATTAAGCTTTTAATAGAAAATACCAATACTATCAATTTTTATATATTATTATTAAACTTTAACGAAAGTAATAAAAGGACAAGCAAAAGCAGCTTTTCTAATAGATGTCGCCAAAAAGTATGCTATAAAATGTACTGGTAGATAAAACCAGTTGGAACTCAAAGCAAATTAAAGCGGAAAAGTACTAAAAAGGGAGATCGGATTCAAGCTATTATTACAAATAAAATGAATAATATTTTAAAGAATATTGTATATGTTCGCCGTATTGTTAAAGCCCCTTGAATTATTTATCTATATAGATACTCTCTATATAAGAATTAAAAACAAATAAAAGTTCACAACATATAAATTCTTTGTTTTTCAAATATTTAAAAATAACTCAATATTACTCTTTTTAAAGTAAATTAAACAAACTTAAAAAAGGTTTACTGTACTTGATAGGACAACTAATAGAGAATATACCTCGTTTTTTTGTTCTTACACACTTGATATGGCAAACGATAGAGAATCTAATTTTGTTACGTTCTTCGTTCTTACATCATGATAAGAGCCGGCTTATTGACCAAGGAACCTAAGAAAGTAAATATTTGGTAACAAAACAATGACCAATAAATTGTCACGTTTGCTTATGTGGGATTAAATTGACAAGAGTGGGTGAGTTCATGGCACGTGTACGATGCGTTACATGCGTTATTATAGGGCAATTATTTAATACGAAATTGATGCAAATTTAACTACCTAATGCAAATTTGACTACTTAATGATTGTAAAACGGAAATAACATTTAATTTATATAAAGTTTCCTGTGAGTTCAAAAGAATTCAAATTTAACAAAGGGCATACCTTTCCTTTGAAGAATATCTATTTTATAAGAACTTATCATATAAGAACTTATCGAAGAATTGTACAAGTTCTTTGTCTTTTTGGAAGACCAAAGGCATTCTAATGAACCTAGGCTGAAATAACGTGATGCAAGGCGAGATATTGACAAAGAACCCTCGACTTTATCAGTGCTATATATTTTCCGATATTTGTTTGCATTGCAATAAAGTGCCAAAAGACCCTATCTAAGGCTGATGCACCGGCAAGTAGCGAATATTTTCCAATAAATAGTCGGCCACCGATGGTGGAAAATCATTCGCTAACTTGTGAACTATCCAACAATATGAAGTATACCCTAGTAGTACTCGCTTTATTGGCACCTCTGGCTATAGCAGCCAGTTTGGGTGAACAGAAACCGGAGGAAAATGCCTTTGTTAAATCCTTGAGGGAATTGCATCGTGGACCTCCAGTTGAGCCAATGAAAGCCAGAGCCAAGGTTGAAGAGCGCTGGATCACCCAAAAGCTGGACAACTTCGATGATAGCAACAATGCCACCTGGCTTGATGTAAGGACCTGAGCGTTAGCCCTATGGTTAGCGTTATATAATTTATTTTCTATTCCCTAGCGCATCTATATCAACAATAAGTACTTCGTTGATGGCTCTCCCATCTTCATCTACTTGGGCGGCGAGTGGGCTATCGATCCCAGTGGCATCACCTCTGGTCTATGGAAGGATATTGCCAAGAAGCACAATGGTTCCCTACTCTATACTGAACATCGTTTCTTTGGCGAGAGCATCCCAATAACGTAAAGTTAAGCTCATGCTTCCATAATTTTTTATTAGGTTATAATAATGATCATCCTTAGTCCTCTGTCCACCGAGAACCTGGAAAAGTACCAAAGTGTAGAACAGGCCTTGGCTGATGTTATCAACGTGATTGCAACTTTGAAGAAGGAGGACAAGTACAAGGATTCCAAGGTTGTAGTATCTGGGTGCTCTTACTCTGCTACTATGGCCACCTGGATCAGGAAGCTCTATCCCGAAATCATCAGGGGCAGCTGGGCCTCATCGGCTCCGCTCTTGGCCAAGGTTAACTTCAAGGACTACATGAAGATTGTTGGAGAGTCATATGCTACCCTTGGGGGACAATATTGTTACGATTTGATCGATAATGCCACCGCCTACTACGAGAATCTTTTTGATATTGGAAACGGAACACAGGCCGCCAAGGAACTCAATCTGTGCTCCAACTTTAACCCTGACGACGAACAGGATCGTTGGCAGATCTTCAGCACTATTGCCAACATTTTCGCAGGCATTGCTCAGTACCAAAAGTAGGTGGCCCATATAAAAATTATAAAAACTAAGTTATAATATAATATTTCCCAACAGACCCGAGAAATATGACATTCCCACATACTGCTCTGATTTTGCGAGAGTTTAGTGATGATGATTCTGTAGCTTTGTCTAAGTTCATCAACTGGAAGATCAATGAGCACTCTGGAGCTTGTCTTAGCACCACATTCAAGGGAGCTGTGGACTACTACGAATGGTCCAAGGAGAACTACGAAGATAGTAAGTGATTTTAACTGATGGCATCTTGAATCCGTGCTAAAAATGTACCCTCTTTAGGCGACTTGCCTTGGATTTTCCAGACCTGCAGCGAGTTTGGATGGTTCCAGTCTTCGGGCAGCAGTAGCCAACCTTTTGGATCCACTTTCCCGGCAACTCTGTACGAAGACACTTGCGAGGGAGTCTTTGGCTCCGACTACGACTCGGCTGGCATTCACTCTAAGATCCGGGCAACGAACAAAGCATTTGGAGGTCTGAACGTTAACGCCACCAATATCTACTTCGTGCAGGGAGGTCTTGATGGCTGGAGTGCCGTGGGAGCTGGAGTTGCCCAAGGAGCCACCATTATCCCTTATGCCTCTCATTGCCCCGACACTGGATCTATCAGTGCCACCGATAGTGCCGAGCTGGTGGCCTCAAAGGAAAAGCTGATCAAGCTGGTGGCCCAATGGCTGGAGGACTAAGATCTCAATTGAAGAATTCTTTTTAATGTTTTTAAATTATTTAATTTTTGTATTTGTTTTTATATGTATAACTATTTAATCGCCAACGTTTGGGCTTAATAAACCGAATATTTAACATAAATAGAAAGTCTATTGCAATGATGGTAAATTCGTTTACAGATAAGATACCAAATGAATTAGGTCAAAGGAAACAAATGAAAATTTTAGTCTTTTAATTAAATGTATATGTTTTTAAGGCAAATGTACTTATTCATATTGATTTGCAATAAGACTTACATACAGACCTACAGACCTGAAGAAGCCACTTGTCCTTTGCTCAATTATAAGATACCTCAAGTTGGTTACTATTTTAATCATCGAATATAAGTAGTAGTCTAACAAATTGCTCATAGAATGTCAAGATCTCAAAACTTGAAACTGCTGAGAAAGAACATTCAAAGAACAGTCAAAACAGATCAAATGAATTCATTTTACTTTCAAGCTCCAGAGATTTGCAAATATGATACAATAAAAACTGAAGATTTATGTAGCTCACAAATCCATCAAAATGTTTGAGAAGGTGTGACCACTCCGACAGTCCATCACGGACATAGACAGTCCCGAAAAAAAGCCAGGTAAGGTGGTATGTGCAGGAAGGGCCGACAGTTCTACACCCAATGAATTGCACTAAATCCAGAAACGTGCTGGGCATATCAAGATCGATAGACAGCCGGCTACTTAAAGACGACTTTGCATTGCTTTATAAAATGTCATAAATCTTGTGAGTCGAAACCGAATCGAGTCACGCATTATAAAGACCCAGGCAGCAGAACCATTTAACAAGTCCCAAACGAACTTGTTTTCAACAATACAATTTGCTTATAAATAGCATTAAATACAATTAAATCGTGGACCTTGTATCATTTAAAATGTAACTGGTACTGTTTACTCTTCCTCTTTTTGAGATTCTTTTTAGGCATTTGGGGTCTTGGTAAGACGATTGGGGAAGGAGGGCGAAGAAATGCCAAAGTGTTGAGTTTTTGGTCAAATTATTTCGGTATGCGCCAAAGACATGAACGGGAAATACTTTTGTTCTTGCTGAAAGGCCTCAAGACAAAGAAAGACGATGGTGTTTGAGAAATTATATCGAAAAAGAAATAAAAATTCTTGCCATAATTCAAAGGCTTGTGGAAATTGGTTAATGTTTGAAATATGTATTTTTTTTCTGCTGCTTGAGAGGAAGTTGTAAAATTCTTGGTTTTAGTTTAAGGGAAAGGTATTAATGGAAGATATTTATTTCTTTATACAGTTTCGGCAGTTAAACTATATTTAAATATAATCTAAATAAATTTAAAAGTTATCTAAATTTTTAAATAACATCTGAAAGTTTGTATTTTTGTACTAAAAAATCTAAAAATGAGAAAAAGGATGACTCTGAGTCATCGTGCTGGATCTGCCCCTTCCCACGATAAATTATAAAAGGTCTTTGAAGCCGCCTTCGACGATCCGCTGATGGCGAACAATCAGCCAGCTGAAATACCAACATCGAATTAGTCAACTCAAGACATAAACCTGAGCAAGTGAGAAGCGGGAAGAGCGATCCAACCAACAAAACTGCTGAGCCTGAGAACCTGGCTATAAAACGAGCTGAAAACCAAATTATTCTTGGCCAGGGTGCACAAATAACAAATCAAAACGGGTGACAAAATGATTTAGGAACCAGGCGAAAATGTTCACACGAAGCACCAGAACAGAACTCCCAACCCATAACCAAAGAAAAGATCGACCAGAACCACTAATATCGAACAAGAAGTGCTGGGGGAGAAACATGCAAAGATTCTGTTCGATATTGTATCCTTTTCGGCTGAGAATTCTTCTACGTGGTCGCTGGATTCGAATTGGTGGGCCTCATTGTTACGCGACGATAAAGATCACACGAGTAAATCATGGTCTGCCGCCACTCACTCCCAGCTCATCCCCATCCGCATCCCAAACCCTTCACCACCCCGGGCTCCAGATTCAACCTTGACTGCCGCGGTGCATGAACAAGTAGTTTAGCAAATGGATACAAGAGCCACACAGGGTTTTTCCGCCGGTTCAATGACAAAAAAAACTCTCTTCTATAATGGTGTGTCATTGTCAAAAAGCTGTATATAAATTTTAAAATTAAAGGCGAATGCTTTATAACTTACATATATAGCTATCTTGGAATAATATATAATTAAACTAATTTTAAAAAAGTAAATGGAAAATTTATACAAAACAAGACAATCAGCTAGTTTGAATTAATAAGGCAGACTGATTTGTAGACTATTTGCAAATATTTACTGTTCAAGTACCTACTCAAGGCACAACCAATTAAAGTTTCAAGCTCATATAATATTTGTGAAAACTATTATGGTAAAGTGGTTTTATAAACCGTATTTAAACACTAGTAATATAATTACACTTTCCCAAAATCGGGTATGAATTTATATAAGGGTAAAAATATTAAAATTGACAAGGAAATTGAATGATTTTTACTTTCACTTTTACTTTCAATAATTTAGTTGACTTGGAATTTGAGACAGATTTGAGCTATTGAACACGCACATTATCGTAGATCTTTACGATATCTTCGTCCATCAAAAGATTTTTACAAAACTCTTGGTAACGCGACATTTGCCTACCGGTTAAATCCACCAGCGGCTTGTTTGGACAGTGCCCCAATTCCGTTTGATTAATCTTATAGCTGCACTGCCTTAGTTTTTCAGTAACCTCTCTCAGCTCATGGGGACGACATTTAAACAAAACTGTGCCTTTAACCAAGTCGGTAATCGCACTATCGGTGGCCTTGCACCACAATGCATCCGTTCGTAATGTATGATTGAAGTCCTCGAAATTCAAATGTGATTTGCTTGGCGAAGTGGCTTCAATCAATCCAGTCTCAGTGAATAAATGACGATTAAAAAAACGTGATTTGGTTTTCCTCAGTAAGTTGGCCAAACGCAGCTTAAGATCGCTGAGATTATCAGTCCTAACCTTGCATACCATAGCAACCAATTGACGTCCATAGTCCATAGGCAGGCTATAGGTGTTCTGATTCCTCTCGCTCAACTCGCACTCCTTCAGGATTCGCTGGACACGACTATAGGGCAATTGCAAAGGCGACAGTCGAGTCCTTAGCTCGAAATTCTTTTCGGGATCAATAGAACCCCCTCCGCGATGAACCGCCAGTCTGAGTTCGTTTGCCAGTCTCTGCTCTTCTGGTGTTTCCTGATCAAATCGGATCTGTTTGGAGCTCAACGGGCTGATGTAATGGGTTGACTCACTCGGGTAGCTTTCTCCATACATTGGAGCCCATTGCACTCGCTTTACAGTCACTGACAATTTTTCATCCGGCAGCAGCAAATCCAATCCATTGCGCTTATCATTTTCCAATTTAGGGGAATCGCTACGGATTAATGTTGGCCTTGGTTGATAAGGACTAAAGCTAGCTTTTAGATTGGTAAGATTCGTGGTCATCACCTTGTCCATGGGGTCTAAGTAGCGCGTATGAGACATTTTTCAAAAACTATGAATTTTGAGCACTCAAAAAAATTGGTTTTAGGTGGATGTGGTTTTGTTTTCTCCTCGAAATGTTTTAAGAGCTTAGTGTTAGAAAGTTTTGGAAAGGCTATCTATGCAAACCCAGTTTTTATTGAAAAATACCAACAAAGGGGTTAAAAGTATCTATTCATAAAGGGCTTTTAAGGACTTCATATGATATATCGGTGACTATAAAAATAAATTGTAATAATATTGTGAACTCACCGTATCAGCGGCTGTTAAGTTGATTCCCAGACCACCAGCTCTGGTAGACAATAGGAAAACGAAAATATCGGCTCTAGTCTGAAAATCAGCCACCATATCGCGACGAGCTGAAATCTTGCTTGAGCCATCCAATCGCATATAGCGATGTTTTCGGTGCCACATGTACTCCTAGGAGCATTATAAAATAAAGTTAAAGAGATTATGAGATTGAGAAGGCATTAAACTCACCTCCAACAGGTCAATCATTTTGGTCATCTGCGAGTAGATCAGAACTCGGTGGCCATTTGCCTTAAGACGAGTGAGCAGGGTGTCTAGGACAAATAGTTTACCGGCATCAGTGATCAGCGTCTCCTTGTCAGGTACCACGATAGAAGACCATCCACTATGAGGCTTACACAAGGCCAAACTTTCCGAGACGAGCTCCCTGCCCTGGCTGTTCTCGCATTGATTGTGACGAATCTGTGCCCAGGCAGCAGAACGACTCTCACAACTGTAATAGTAAATATAAATCAAATTATTTTAAATTAAAGAGCAATTTTTTAAAACTTACTATAAACGCCTATCAACCGCCTGCACTTTCTGACCCAAACCGTAAAGAAGTCGCGGCATAGAGAGCGGTGCGCATTTATAACTTCTGGGTTTTCGAGGGCGATATGGAAACTCTGGCAGCAGAAGCAACGTTGTCATTTTAACATCATTTTTAGCATTTGATTTAGTTTGAACTTCCACGGATTCTATTTCCATATTGGACACCTCCTCCATCTCTTCGATCATGAGAATCTTTGATCGAATCACACGATGCTCAATAGTTTCCTGCATATTGTATGTGAAATAATCGCCAAAAGCGTAAACGCTGCTTTCGTTAGCGGTCTATTAAGATAAAATAAAAACTCTTTTAATATAAGATATTAAATGTTTTAACTTCATTTACCATAGCTGTGAAGATGAAGTTCCTAAGAACACATTTTTCAGACATATAGTCTAGGACAAGTTTGTTTTCTAACATCGGCTCTAATAGTTGATATCTACTGTCAGGCTGTTTTTTCCACCAAAAGCGGCGGTAGGCTACAAGCGGGTATTTTTCCAATACTCTTTGGTAATGTAAAAGACTGGGGAAGAAACGGAATTTAATTATTGTATGATTAGATTACAAGGGAACACTTTTATGGAATAAGATACACTTTTATTGCAAATCATACTCACAAATCAATAATTCCATTTAGAGTCACATCAACCATATCTCCCACTGATAAATCACATAGGCGGGTAAATCCAAAGCAACTATCCACGTTCAGATCGTTAAAAAGCGATCTTTGCATGTATTCCGATTTAAAGATATTAAACCTGTAATTAATAAGAATATAAGTAAATGAATAAACTTTATAAAAAACGTACCCACCTGTTGTACAGCAAATGTTTCCGACTAGGCAACAATCTGTGAAGAAGTCCATTCTCGTAAACCAGTCTGGGAATCGTATATTCCGCACATCGCATGAAAAACGGACTTCTAGCATCTCGTCGTTCAAAGAGTTCTGGATGATTGCATACCTTGCGGAACTGCATGACCAGATTCATCAGATTAGAAGCCGAAGACGATGATGCAGTGGTAGTGGAACTAGTTAAATGCAGAAGATCCTCAATGTTAATTTTTTGCTTCAGCGCTCTGTAGAGCAACTTCTGGCGAATGGTCAGTGGACAGTAGACCATAATTTCGATCTTGTCCGACAGCTCATTCTCTACATCCTTCTTAATGCGCCGCAACATAAAGGGTTTCAGGATCATGTGTAGTCTGGATATTTGTTTCTCATCGATTCCCGTTTTATTTTCAGCATGCGATTCAATGTCCTTGGAGAACCACTCGTTGAACTCATCATGGGAGTCAAACAACGTCGGCATGATGAAATGCAACAGTGCCCAAAGCTCTGCCATGCTGTTCTGGATGGGAGTGCCACTAAGAAGCAATCGATTCCGACAGCTGAAGCCTAGAAGTAGCTTCCACCGTTGTGAGGCAGCGCTTTTGATGGCCTGCGCCTCATCTAAGACCATGTACTGCCACTTGATCCGGTTGAAATACTTGTAGTCGCTGACCACCAGCTGATAGGAGGTGATTACCACATGAAAGCTGGCATCCCGAGTGTGCAGGTGCTTTTGGTCCCAAAATTGCCGAAGAATCTTCCGTTCTCCAGGTGAACCCCAATATGGCACAACTTTAAAGTCGGGCACGAATCTGGACATTTCCTGCTGCCAATTATGCAGAGTGGATGCTGGTGAGATTACCAAAAAGGGTCCCCAAACTCCGTAGTGCTCGGCGACGTGGCAAAGGAAAGCTATCGATTGCACAGTCTTGCCTAAACCCATTTCGTCTGCCAGAATACCACTGATTCCCTGATCGTAGATGTTAGCCAGCCATGTCATGCCCTTGATTTGGTAACCCTTAAGGGTTCCCTTGAACATCTTCGGTTGAGGGAGGTCTTTCATTTCAGGTCGTGGCTCTGGTTTTTTATCCTCCTCCTCCTCTTCCAGTTCTTTTTCCTTCTCCTCTTCTTCTTTTTTCTTTATGAATACGTCGAATGCCTTAGTTTTATCTAGATCTCTTTGCATAGCTGCCTCGGCGCTTATCTGAGCGAGCTGCTTCATCTCCCCGGCATCGTAGTCATCTTGAACCGATAATTTAGCATTAGTCTCCTCATCCAGTTGGCTGAGAATGCGTAGTTGATCCTCTTCGCTGCCCTGACCGAGCTTCTTGGACATGAAGTGGGCATACAGTTCGGTTTGAGTGATCAGGAAATTTAGCTTACGCTGTTGTCGCTTTACTTCAATGAGTTCCACGTCCTGTTTCCTCTGCTCCTCCGCTTCACGCTCTAGTTTGCGCCGCTGGTCCCGCTCCACGCGCTCATAGCGCTTCCAGTAGGTGAGCATTTCCCTCGTCAGTCGCTTGGCACGCCACACCGTCTCCTTCATGGTTCTTTGGGAGTTTATGGCTCGCTGGCGCACCACCTTAGCACACATGCCAGCCACCCGCTTGCAATTGGCTAGCATATCCTTGTGATTGGTACTCTTGATGCGTTGCAGTCTGCCGGATTCTTTCTTAGACATAATTTGCCAGATGCGACGACGACGAGCGGCCAAGGCTGCTGGGTTCTTTCGCTTTCGTCGGACTTTTGTCACTTGACCCTCTGTGCCGCCCACGACGTCCACCTCCTCCTCGATCTCTTCTTCTTCCGGATAGTCCAGAGCCAAACTGGCCAGCTCTCTTTTATAATCCACCTCGCCACCATCTTCGTCTTCGTCATCGTTTGTTGGCAGTGTGTCACCGAAGGAGTATTTGCCCAGCTCCGACGGTGGTACTTCACCAGATTCTGGTGATCCTGTGATATCTCGCTTCTTGCGACCCCTCCTTCGTTGTTTGGGTGGCTTTGGTCCAGCTTGTGCTTCGGCCAAACGGGCCATGAGGATCTCTTGCTTTGTCCGGCGACGCCTTTTACGCACTCCTGCAGTAGCCTGCTGACGCTCGGCAAAGATGTCGTGGTTGGACAGCAAGCCACTGCCATAGTATGCATATTGGGCGTTCTGCAAAGGTATTAAATAGAGAAGTTATGGGTTATGTACTGCGGCATCGATATAAAAACAAGAAACTATATATATCTTTAGCTTAGTTAACCCTTCTGTTCTGTTAGATTCTACATTACTCACTGTGGCCTTTTTGTAGTAGTTCTTTCGCTGACGCTGTTCGCGGACGTGCTCTCTCAGCATCTGCTGTACATACTCATCCTCGGTGATGGTGGGGTCATCGCTTTCCGTGTCGCTGAGGAGGAGATCGTACAGCCACTCCCGATCGCTGGTCAGATCGTTAAAATTATAAAGCTGAGCCTTAACGCTTTGACGTTCTGAAATCGTGGTTTTTAGCTGGGATTCCCCAGATGCACCAATACTGACTCACCCTCCTTGCTGCCCAACAGACGATTTTTTCGCCTTTTGGAATGTTTCATCCGGACGACACCAACGGTAGAGGAGTCATCGGAGTCCAGTGTATCCTGTTCTTTCTTGACCGTCTGGTCCTCGTCACTTTCCTCGGTGCTACTCAGCGGTTTCCGCAATGCTCTCTTGGCCATGTCCATGAAGGGACGCATATTGAGCGCCGCTTCCAAGCGCTGGATGTGCAGCGGCTCTGCCATGGTACGGGGACGTGGCTGTGGCGTCACCGCTGGCTTGGCTTCCATAGTGACAGCGATTTAATTCAGCTTTCAAGCAAACTTATCACGTAATTTCGCTATTTAATCGGCGTGCTATTTGTTGCGAAGGTAAACAACGGTGTGACCGTAGCCTGATCGGCGAAAAAAACCAGCTACTATAAAAAAAATCGATGGACTACAGTGGGTGTGGGTCTTCTATATATACCTTAGAATAATTACTTAAATTGTATTTAATACAAATCATGTGATAAATCATTAATTATTAGAAACACATTTCGGCTCTTCATATTTTAATTTGAGGTAATATCATTTTTTTAGTGAGTTCACAAGATAAATATATCGAAAGGTATTTTTCTGAAGAGGCTATTTGGTCCTTACCAACACTACCGTCAGCTGTTTCATTTTGCTTTGTTATAAAGTCATTAATTTATTTGTATTTAACAACAAAACTTGAAACTTAAATTGAAAATTATTAAATAAATAACTCATAACCTTATAATAACGTTTTGAAGTAATTCATATTCCATTAATTTGTTATGTCTTGGTCAAATGGATTAGTCAAGGAAATCTTAAAACCTGAAAATTTGATAATTTCATCAGAAATCGCAGTTGTTATAGCAGACAAGTATCCGAAGGCGAAGCATCATTATCTAGTCTTGCCATTAGCCGATATCCCCAGTATCTTTCACGTAGGTAATCATTACGAATGCCACCAAATACACACATAAATATTTTCTTCGATCTTTTAGTTGAACCGGAGCCATCTACCGCTCTTGGAGGAGCTTTATCTTTTGGCCAGAAACATTGTGGAGGTGAAAGGAGCCTGCTGGGAAAACTTCAAGGTTGGTTTCCATGCGGAACCCAGCATGCAAAGGCTTCACTTGCATGTTATCTCCAGGGATTTTGTATCATCAAGTCTGAAGACCAAGAAACATTGGAATTCCTTCAACACCGAGCTTTTTGTACCATACCAAAGTAAGAATTCTCGGAATGAGAAAGTTGTTACCCTTGAGGTAATACGATTTATTTAGTCATAAGAAATCATAAGAAAAGAAAAAGATATTTAAGATGTTAAAAGGTACTACATTTTATTTTGTATTCAGTATGTATAAGTATTGATTTAGTATTATAAGTAGTATTTATAAGAAAAACAAAATAATGGTTTTAATTATGTTATTTATTCTTTAAATATTACAGCTTTTATAACAAAACCTTTTAATTATTTTGCGTAAACTTGTACATGTATTTATTATCAATCATTATTATTTTATATATATTCTGAGCCAATGGACTGAAGATGTAGTCCAATAGGAGATATTAGTACTTCAGTACTTGAACTCTAAAAGTATTTTACAATATACTCTTAATACATTTACATTTATAGAATACATTAATTTAAACAAACTAATATTTTCCTTAATATTAAAAACATTTTTAATATTACATATTAAAAAACATTATTTATACTTATAGAATTGTGCTCACAGCTGGAAAAGGAAAATAGCATAACTCGACTGCAGAAATCGGTGAAAGACGAACTGCTGACCAAGCCCTTAATTTGTAATCAGTGTGAATTTTTAGCTAAAAATTTGCCAACACTCAAGGAGCATCTGGTGAAGCACCTCGCCGATTCTGATTCCAAGCGAACCACTAAAGCTTTGTAGAGAACCAGTTCCTCCCGATAGCTGACAATCTGGATCCAACACTGTAGGCTAACTTTTGACAGCTAAGTCAGAACTTATCTTGGTTATAATTCGGTGATTTACACGATTAAGCAAGTGAATCTAAAAAAATGGAGATGGATGATAAAGGAAAAATGGAGTTCGATGAAAAGAAATATTTTCGGAATGAACTACAGCGCAAGCTAAATGACAAGAGGAACTTCCTCATCGAAAGTGATCGTGCTGTGGTCATCAAAGCTGACTTTCCGAAATCGCAATTTCATTTTCGGGTGGTGGCTAAGGAGGACTTGAGAGACATAACTCAGGTGGGTCTGTGATAGGATATTGTTTTTTAATTATTTATAATATCGGCCTTATTGTCAGCTAAGTGAAGATCATCTTCCATTGTTGGACCACATGATGGAGTTGGCTAACCAAATTATCGATAAGCAGGAGCACCTGGAGTCGCGTAACTTTCGCATTGGTTTCAAAGTCCACGCTTTTTGGAACCGCCTTAATTTGCATGTGATTTCTGATGACTTCTATTCTATGGCCATGAAACGTCCACGTCACTGGAATAGCTTTAATACGGAACTGTTTATGCCCTTTCAAATCGTTCACACGATGCTCAGTTTACAGGGCTCCATTGAACCCATTTCGGAAGAGAGATACAAGGAGCTGCAATTTCAGAAGCCGTTTCACTGCAATCAGTGCGATTTTGTCACTAATCTACTACTGGACCTGAAGGCCCATCTATATCACCACTGGCATCTCAATGAAGGCGAGCGTGAGCAGAAGAAAAAACTAGAAAAAATAATACAAATGATTGATGAGACCAAGCTGGATCCTGCCGCTGTAAAACCAATAGAATTGTCTACTCAAACTGAAGCAGTAGCTGGCAGTACCCAGATCTCTAATCAAAACTCAAAGAATCCCTTGCCAAAGCCATACCAACAGCAGGGACAGCAGCAGGCCAATAATGGTTATACCGGCTATATGAACGGACCTCCGGTCAACATGATGAATCTGCAGAATCCCGAACAATCCTTTCCGAAATACCCCTCCCCTCAAAATCCAATCGTTGAATCCGCCGCAACCCAATGCGTTTAATTATCGGCCAACTAGCTATCAGCCACGTGGACCTATACCACATCAAGGACGTTGGGCTTCCCCCATGAATGGTCCACGCTTTCGACCCAATCAGTTTCAGAACAACTTTAGACATCCGGAATATAATAGGAATCGGGCACAGCATCCAATAAATCAACAGGGTGCCTTACAATACCCAATTCAGTCATTTGCTGGTATAGGAGCTGGACCAAGTAAGCCCCTTGGTCTAGAAACAACACCGAGAGGGATGCCATCTATTAACCAACCGAATCCGAATCGTAATTATCAGCAGAAGCCCTTTAAACAAGAACAGAATTTAAAGAAATCTCAGCAGCCAAATCGAAATCAGAATCCGAATCAAAATACCGATAATCGAAATACCCAGAATCCGAATCCGATAAATCGGCCGAGTAATAATCAACAAAAAAAACGAAGTAACAAAAAACCAGCAAACAAAAATAATCAACCCCCTGGTGGCAATCTTCAAAATCAAGTGGCTCAGACTCCACCTCCAGCTGCTAACAATTCCAAGCCAGCTAACGCCTCCTAGAAATGTTGAGGCAGGATAAATTATTCTATTTAAAAATATTAAATATTTAAATGGATTTACCATTACCAAATATATTAAAATGGTAAATATTTAGGCTTTTACCAAATTGGCATCATCGATCATTCTTTCACAGCTTTTCACATATTTTATGACTGTTAATATCGCGGAATTATATATTCAAATATATCCCAAATTATTTTTGTAAAAGAAATAAGAAAAAGATCTAGAATAGAAATAAATATAATTAAATATGGAACATGCAATAATCCATATAAAATTGTAATTGCATTTTAAACTACGAAAATTATGTTATATTTTGATTTTATCAAACAAATTGGACTGAATTCAGAAGTTTAAGAAAGCCGAATTGATAAATAATAAACAATATCGAAATTATTAAATATTTTACAAAGGTTTAATAAATTAAATAAGCATGAAATAAAAATTTAGATTCATCTCATGGGGTTGAAAAATAGGTTTTTGCACACCAGAATTTGTTTTAATTTTCATTTACCAAACACCCTAAAATCTCTTACTACCTTAAAAATAATTAAAATGACACATTTTCAAATTTGCCGCCCAATAAAAATATCGAAACAAAGTTCCATCCATAGCCGGATATCATGTTTTACAACACTGGAACTGTCAGCTGTTTCTATTTTCATTTTCTTTATAGTTTCCATAAAATTGTTGGCCCTTTACGGTAATCCGGTAAAAATAGTAGAATTTGCAATGTCTTGGAAATATGGATTGATCCGAGACATGGAAAAGCCGGAAAACGTGATAGTTTCATCAGAAAATGCAGTTGTTATACAAGACAAATATCCAAAATCAAAGCATCACTATCTCGTTTTGCCAATAGCCGATATTGAAAGCATCTTTAAAGTAAGTAATTTAGCATATTTAATAAAATTCAAATATTATATAATTAAATGTACCATTCAGTTGAACCGGAGTCACCTGCCACTCTTAAAGGAGCTTCATATTTTAGCACAAAAAGCTGTGAAGTTTAAGAAACAACTTTGGGAGGATTTCAATGTGGGATTCCATGCGGAACCAAGCCTGCAGAGACTTCATTTACATGTGATCTCCAAGGATTTCATATCGACATGCATGAAGACCAAGAAGCATTGGAACTGCCACAACACCGATCTATTTGTGCCCTTCGAAAGTAAGAATACTCGCACAATCTTCACTCGCTTATACTTTTTACAAGACCAAACAGATTTTAAAAGGAACTTGGGTGATTCTAATGGTCGTAAAAAGTGTGGTGTAATAAATCCCATATCTTTTTTATAATTATTCTCTTGACTCTTTTAGAACTATATAATCAGCTGAAGAAGGATGATTGCATTTCACGATTGCCAAAAACGATTATTGACAAGCTGTTGGCTGCGCCGCTAAGATGTAATCAGTGTGACTTTGTCCCGGATTCGCTGCTAGATCTGAAGGCTCACCTCTTTTACCATTGGCATTGTAAAGAAGAGGACCAACAGCAGGAACAAATTGACAGCAAAATGAAACTATCAAACGGAAACAATTCATCCTTCAACAACCAAGCGAAGAATCATTATCAGTCGGAAAACTGCAGACCGCGGAGACCTTTTTATTACAAAGGGCCTAGAGCACCTATGCATGGTTCTCGCTTTGCACCGAATCCGCATCAGAATCACTTTAGGCAGCCGGGACAATATGTGTTTCCAGCACCGCCATCAATAAACCAGCTGGGACTTTTACGTTATCCAAACCAAGCTGTCGTCGGTGGAGCATCTAGGCCAAACTGGATACCAAAATATGTTCTAAACAAGAGTCAACCAAATACGAAACAACCACAACAAGAAAACTTTAATCCTCGGAATTCAAGACTGAATCAACAACAACAAGATTGGTTATATTTCCAAAAACTGACCGCCAAAAACCCTGACCAGCCAAAGCAACATTACAAGCAATCAAATCGCTCAAAAACCAATCAGCAAAACCGCCAGAAACCTGATCAACAGAATGACGAGAATTTCCAGAAACCAAACGAACCGAAAACCAATATTAATCCTTTGGATTCAGCATTGAATTCAAATCCAAGTCAATATACGAGACCTAAAAATAATCAAAATTCAAACCGAAGAAACAAGAAGCCTGCAAACAAAAAGATGAAGCCAATATCTATTAAAATGGTGGAGATTAAAGAAAGTAAAGCTCTACCACCTGCAACCAAATCTGTTAAAATTGATGAAGCTAAGAAATGTCAGGTTCCAGCACCTTCTCCAAAATCTGTTGACATTCTTGACGCAAAAGAAAGTCAGAACCCACCACTTTCAACAATATCTGTTCAAATTCTTGAGGTTAAAAAAAGTCAGGATTCACCACCTTTAACAATTGAAAACCAGCTTGCAAGTCTAACAATTGTTTCTCCTTCTGAAACAGTTTCATAAGGATGTACAAATGAAGTTTTTAATACAGCTAGCAAGTACAAATAAATAAGATACAAAAAAAACTACAAGTTCATTCGAGACATTGTCAAACTAGCATTTAAAAATATTTAGTGACTGTTATGTGTTATTGCAATAAATTATATTTTATATTATAAAATGTAATAGTATTGATAAATCATTTACAAGTGATCATTTTATTTGAAATAAAAAGTGTATGCTTACCAATTTCATCTTCCTAAACCATAAAAAGAACTTATAAGAGTGCGAATTAAATTCTTTCGTTAAACATCCCAGAAACATTTTTCTGCGTTTTTAGGTTCCTACTATGCCCTAAGTAATATAAAATAAATAAAATGATATCTAAGAACACAATTATTGTTACCTTAAACAGAACACTTCTTGGAAGTTGACTAATGAAGGTTTCGTTTTAATTTTACTTAGAAAAACAGTTTGACTTTGCCAGCCACCTGCACAAGCATTTAGATGACTCAATTATAGTACTCTGGCCAACTGGAAAAATACCAACCCACGGCTAATTAAGCAGCCACCGAGGAGCATCAGTAACGCTCCTCCTCCCCACAGACCAGCCATCTCGAACACTTATTAAATTATAATTCTGAATTTGAAAAGTGGACAAAGTTTGTCGGATAGCCAGTTTCCCATGGGAGAAGGATAACTTTCCAGTTTATTTATCGATTTTAACTTGCTGTGCAGTGAACTTTAAAGAGTGAAATGTACTCCCTAACGAATTGGTTGGTGAGGTAATAAGTGAATTTTTAATTAATTATTACAGAAATAGTAAACCCCTAAGTGAATTCTTGGCAATAATAATAATAAGTAATAGTATCGTTATAACAGTTTCAAATATAGTTAAGCTCAATCCAAAACATCTTTCGTCCACTTTTAGTCCAATATACCTATTACTTTCCTTGCCATCCAAAGGCTGCAAATAAAAAAAAAAAGAAAGCTTAATTAGTTAATTTCAAGAATATATTATGCTAGACTAAGAAAGCCCATAAAGGTCTACAAGCACTCTGGTTTTATACTAGGCCCACTTACCATTAATTTTACACTTTACAAGGGGGAATCTAAGCTTTGAGGAGACAAAGCCACTTGCAGATTTCATTCCTAGAAGCAGTGCCATGGAGCCAAGCTAATCCACATTAGACCATAAACAAAATTCAAGGCAACAACCCTGAGCCAGACACAGTCCTCGTGTGTTTTTTTTTTTGCCACAATTTAAATTCGCCTCGACTTTTTTTAGTGTGTCACAGTGTCAAGGTGTCCGAAAGCTGGCACTCAAGCCACAGCCCCATCGATAGATATATGCTTCGGGGTGTGGTGGTGGGCTCTTGTCCCCACTTTTGGTCTCTACTTTCACTGAGCAATCAACAGCTCCATTAAAGCTATCTCTCGGAGCCTTGCCACCTGTTATGTCTCGAGCAACAGGAGGCCATTCATAAAGGACGTTACTTTTGGAGCCAAAGAGAGCGCCGAAAAAGCTCTCAAGGATGCCTTCCTGTGAGAAGCACTCGTTTTCGAGTACTTTTACTCAGCGCATGTCCACAAATGAAAGCTTTCTACATTTGAGAAACAACAAATTCAAGGCGAGCGGAGGCTAAATCAAGGGGGCATAAAAAAGGGAACATTTTGGCCTTTAACTTAAATTGTCTGTTTAATGATCTGTAGATCTTGTTAAAAAGGTGCCAAGTCTTTAGGGCATACCTTGCAATTATTACTGTTGCGTCAAGATATGTTTGTAATTAATTGGAATTAGTTTTAAAAAATGAAATAATATTTTAATACATTATTGGAAATAATTTGTAAAATTATCAGCAATAATATAAAATAATATTCGAATTTGTATATTTAAACTGAGAGTAGATAACGCAAAGTTGAACCTTTAAAATACATTTAAAGAAATAAAAATGTAGTTCTTGATACAGGAAAATATATTAAAAAATATATATTAATTAGCAGAAATATATTTTTAATAAATGTATATTGGTAGCCCAAAGTATAATAAAAACCTAACTGATATTCTAGATACATATTTCTAGAAATTTATTTCTTAAACTTTCTCGACGGGAAAAATTAACACGTATTTCATTGGTTCTTCTCTTCCAGAGAATCTTAAATGTTGTGTAATTGAATAATTTCCTCCGAGTCAAAGAGCAATTTGAAATTATTTTTCTGACAACCAAAAATAACAGAAAAATGTTTTCCTTTATAAATATTCATAAAAGCGAAGCACTCGCCACGAATTGGACAGCAAATATGGGAATGTGGCTTTTGAGCACATGTGGAATGTTTCCATGCACGTAAAATGTTATTTATATGCTGATGATTTTTGCAAGCCAATTTTTTTTGGTACATTCTTCTGTTCCGTGGATTGGTCTCATGGTGAATAATCCTTTTCGCCGTCATTACCCACAACATCTGGGTAGTAAAAACAAAAGGAGTAAATAAGAGGCTCAACATCAATTGCACGATTTAACCAATTTGCAATTTCTGCCTGGGAAAGAGAAGTAGACGAAGAATAACAACAACGACGGCGAGAAAGAGCTGCAATAATAATAACTTTTCATAGCGCCCCCATTGTTGTTAAGAGCCCCCCAGTGAATGGGTGTTGTTAGCCTGGAATGTTTCGTGTATCAAGTTACCCAATAGATGCGTTGATTTCATAGCAATTCTGTTAAAAGAATAGAAAATACACATTATTGGGAGATATATGTAACCCAAAACATTAGAAAATCATAGAAAATGGATATTTTTGTTAGGAATATATTAAACATCTTTGAGTAAAGTTTCGAACAGTATAGTATTGTAAATCATTTCTATTTAAATTGTTAAAAAGTAACAAAAAGAAAAAGTCACTTTAAGTTATTGGATATATGAATAGTTACTGAAATCATTCTACCTTGTGTTATTATTTTATTATTATTATATTTTTCCAACACATTTCTGAGACACTCTTAATACCCTTTATATCAGCTCATATAGAAAAGTAAAAAATGTAAGAAGTAATCTAGTAAGGAATTTTCCATTTCACCCTTTCGATTGCATGTTAAAAGAGTTCCTGCTCATAAGTTTTCCCCAGTTTGACTTTCGCTTCCGCAATCCTTTTCGCTTGGAATGCACACGACGCGCACTGACACGGCGGGGATCCTGCAATGCTGCGTTGTTGCGCGCCATTGTTCTGGATATGGGGCGTATGAGTAATATGCCAATTTTACATTTCGTGCATTCTCCTGTTGCTTGTTCGCCCAGCTGCTTATATATTTTTATGTTTCCCCCTTTTTTCCGCTGTCAACGCTGTAAAAATATTTTTGTATATTTCTTGTCGCCTGTACTTTCATATCCTTGTGGGTTTTTATTTGAGTGGGTGTTTGTTTATCCTATTACGGTACCGTTGCGTATACGAGGTGATGGCTGGAAGCGGCTTTCAGACGGATAAACTTGCGAGCTAAGTTTGCCAGACGATTTAGAATGGGTAGAAATAGGATAGGTAGTAAACATTTTAAAGCTTGTTAAATTTCAGCGGAGACTGACGTGGGCATAAATATAAAATCGAAATCTTTAGCTAAAATATAAAAAATTTATGTCATAAATGTGTATCACGTTTATAGCTTATTTTACTCCGAATTTGCTTAGTAGCTATCAGTTTTTGCAACAATATTGCATTAACCTTGGCCTGTGCATTCCACTCTATTTTTTAAATTATTCAACTTTTTGCCATAGGGGCATACCGCTCTCATATAAGCAATATCATTTCTTACATTTCTTCATTTGATTATTGGCAACTCAACATGAAGTGGCTTTATTTTGCTCTGCACATTATATTTTGGTTACCAAGGTTTTTTGGCTACTTTGAATCCTTATAAACACAGTTTGGATTTGCTTAATAAAGAACCTTACTCGGGATATTATACAAAAAACGAGGCAGCTTTTGTCGAAGAACTATGGTTAGACCAAAAAGTTGACCATTTTGTTAGGGACAACACTCAAACTTGGAAAATGGTTAAATTTTTGTAAAAGATTAAACAATTTTTCATCAATTAAAATATAATATTATTTTTTAGCGGTATTTTCGTAACGCCAAGTATCACAAGCCCCAAGGACCCATCTACATATTTGTAGGAGGCGAATGGACCATCAGTCCAGGATTAATGAGCACTGGCTTAACCCACGACATGGCAGTGGAAAACTCGGGCATGCTCTTCTACACAGAACATCGCTATTATGGATTGAGTTTACCTTTTGGGTAAGTACAAATCTTATGAAGGTGATATAAATTATGTTTTGTAATCCATAGGAAAGAGAGTTTTAAGCTGGAAAACCTTAAGCAACTAAATCTTCATCAATCATTAGCTGACTTGGCTCACTTTATACGCCATCAAAAGTCGGAAAACCCTGAAATGAGAGACTCCAAAGTCATTTTGGTTGGTGGCTCTTATTCGGGAAGCTTGGTGGCCTGGATGACTCAACTGTATCCGGAATTAATAGCTGCCAGTTGGGCTTCTAGTGCTCCATTATTGGCCAAGGCAGATTTTTATGGTGAGATGATTATTTTTATTAAATTTAATCTATAATATTTGATCTTTAGAGTACATGGAAGTGGTCAGTCAATCTATTGATTTGACATATGGAAGAAATTGCTCATTGCGAATGGAAAATGGCTTCAAACATCTGGTTAAGTTATTTAATGACAATGAAATTGAGGAACTACTGTATCAATTTAATAGCTGTGAAGATTACAATCCCGAGGATCCTTTGGATAGGGCAGCCTTCTTCAATGGTCTGGGAAACTATTTTGCTTTGATTATTCAAAGTTATAGGTAAGTTTCATAATGTACTCATTTTACCAATGAGTTTTTTTTAAAGTTTATATTATTATTTAACATCATATATATCATTTTATTTATATTTACTTAACAGCGCTTACATACCCCGTCTTTGTGAGAATTTAATGTCTTTAGATTCCAATGATGAAGTCGGTTTTCTAAAATTCTTGGAACTGCTTTACTCAGAAGGCAGGCGCTCTAGTGACTGCCAGGACTTTGGCTACTCTTCCATGCTGGAACTTTTCAGTGAGGATGCAGATCAAAGTTCGGAAAGTAAGTAAGCATAACCAGCGGCATATTATAGTTTCCTAAATGTTTTTGTTATTTTTCAAGCTCGAGCGTGGTTCTATCAGACTTGCAATGAATTTGGTTGGTACACAACCACAAAATCGCCAAATGCCACTACAGAAACCTTTGCCAATCAGGTGACCTTGTACTACTTCGAAAAACTTTGCCAGGATGCGTTCGGAGTGGAGCAGACGGCCCAGAAATTGGCCCAGGGCGTTGAACAGACGAATAGCAAATTCGGCGGATACGCGTTCAATCAGAGTGAGCGTTATGCTCAGGTAATCTTTACGCATGGCCAGCTGGATCCGTGGCGTGCTTTGGGCCAGCAAACGGGCCAACAGGCTATTGTCCTGACGGGTAAGTCCTTGGCAGATGATTGAGAGACTCCGCTTAGTTTTCTGCCACGTGCCATAGGGTACTCGCATGTGGAGGATTTGGCCAGCATCCGGATAACGGACAACGTTCAGATGAATCTGGCCAAGCTGCGTGTTATGTCCTTTCTGCGACGCCACATATGAATCACCATCCCGTACCAAGTTCCACTCGAATGAATTATTAAATAAACAAATGCGTCGGGTGATGAGCCCATTTGAAAATGTCGTGGGATCAGCTCCTCTTATCCTCTTGTCCTTTTTGGCCATTTGACAAACAGGGACAAATTGAGTGATGCTTGGACACTAAGTGATATGTCTGGCCTGTCGGCTTGTGCAAACAATTTTCTCGACTGCGGCATTCTTGTTGATTAGGAAATTGCACTTGTCCTTTGGGCTGTGCATTTTCTCTCTGTTTGTTTGTCTTGGATTGATTGGTTGATTAAGGGCTCCTTTGGGTGGGACACCTACGCCGCCACTTAAGCGGTGTTTGTAAAAACTCTGACTTGGCCAGCTATAAAGTTTTCTTTTACCAGGTTGGTAAAACTATTTGTCAAAATGGAGTAAACAAAGAAGGTTTTATAATTACTTCACATAAGCTATTAAGATTTTTCCCTTTTATAGGTGACATGAAAAGATTTCTTTATAGATTACGTTTTAGTACTTGATTGTTGATTTAAGAAATATGTGATAACGAAAAGTATTAAAAGAAGTTCTTTAGAGTACAATTGGTACTGTTTTAACGTTAACAAAAGTCGTGTTTGGAAAGGTTATAAATTATTATTATTATTAATCGTGTTGACTAAAAGCAATAAACTAAATATCATTTATTTAATTAACAAAAATATAGTTTTATTAACATATTTTACCATATTCAAATTTAAATTTAATTTTAGGGTGTGAAACCATTACTCACTTGCGCATTTGGAAATTGAAAATGTGAAAGAAGCGCAGTAACTGTTTATTAACCGCCCTCGGAAAAGCTTTGGCTGTCGCTTTTCGCATTTGAGTGCAACGCCAACGCTCCGAGGACATCGTCGAATCAGCGTCACCTGCTGGTCTGCGTGGGCGCCCAGGAAAGTTGCCCGGTTGGCACCAGAAACTATTGGATACATTTGCAGGCGCCGAAGGATTTACGGGGTATGTGGGTGGCACAATGGGTAGTTGCGTGGGCAGAAGTTTAAGGGGCGGGCCGGCTTTCGAAATGCTCTCTGTCTCTCTCTCTCTCTCTCTTTCTCTCTATGATGGCTCTCTTTCACTCTACATTTGTTATTTACATTTGTACCACTGTTGCTTGGCCATTTCTCTAACGGTTTGGGCCATGTTTCACTGCTAAAACCACGGCCATGCGGATGCTGTTGGGTTTATTTCGCGCTAATTAATATTTGTTGCTTCATTTATTGGCTAAATTACTAGTAGACAAGCTTCTGCTTGGCCAGCGTTAAGTGGCGAAAGGATTATCAAGGTCTTGGAGGGTTGAAGCTTTCCGAAATGTGTGACCCTGGGATTGAATTACTTTTGCAAATATTACTCAATTTCACTGAAGGTTTAGAAAATTTATCATGCCCCAAGTTCTTTAACAAGCATCCCTCTCGTTTTTATGCTAAAAGTTTCGTTCGGTGTACGGATGCTTTTTAGTTTATATAGCTCAAGTTTCGTTTTGAAGGTGATGATAGATATGAAAAGGTTAAGGTATAAGAACAAGCTGTATGATAAGAAGAAAGTATGAAACTCATATAAAATAAATTATAAAAAATAATTAAAAAGTGGAAATAAAACTGAGACCCTTTAACTTAGTTATTTTTATCTCTGTTTTTTTGAAATATACAAAGGTTTTAAAGATTATATTTCCCTCATAAAAATTTTAATTTAAAAAACCACTAAACCACTGCTTTCACCAAAAGTTCAAAACAATTAAGATCTAAAACCAGACAATTAAATTAAATTTGGTTATCAAATTCAAGGACTTCGCTGGCGGGGCCCCATCCTGCAGCCAAGTTGAGAGCCGCTCCTGGCCAACAGCCAAAACCCATCAACGCAACCAACGAAATATGGCCCAGAGCAGGTGCTCGAGCCCTCTGAGTGACATTGAGAGCACAGCAAAGAGCGAATGCCGCGGGGAAAACTCAACCGCAGAAGGGAAACGAAAGTCAGAGAGGCTAGTGGTTTTTCCACTCATCCGGGAAATCCACTCGAGAAGGACTCGTGCGTAGGCGGCGACGAAGCTCAAGTTGAGTGTCGGGAAAAGTGCTTAAAAGACGAACACAATACGCTCAACGCTTCAGTCGAGTTTGAAACTTACACTCAAGCGGAGTTGTAAATAGTTGTTCGAGTTGTTGGCTCGTACTCAAACGTACTGTAACACCTTTATACAAAAAACCCCTTAGAAAATATAAGACACATAAATATAAATTGTTTTAAAAAACAAGAAAAAAAAACAAGAAGGGAAAAATACAAATCAAGTGGCAAAAAGGATTTCCAACTGACGCGTGTGCTATTAGATTTCATGTTGTGACTTGAAGCCGTTGGAAAATGTGTCCAAAACTGTTGAACAGAAACCCAAACCCAAATGTTGAAAATTCCCACGAAATTTGAGTTCAAAAAGGAAAATCTGTGTGTGCGGAAAATTGCTTCTTTACGGCTCCGCTCTGTTGCTCTTCATTACCTTTACGTTATACTTGCCACCATGCCAGCACTCCTCTTGGTTTTCTCGGATTTTTCTTCTTTTTATATATATATATATATATTTTTTTTGAAGCCTAGGCCTCGTTAGTCTTGTCCCGCTTCCATGATTCACGTTGCGTATACGCCGTGTGGCGGCTGGTGGTTTGGGTGTGTGCGAGTGTGTGCGTTGCTGTGTCTGTGTGTGCGTGTGCTTTGAATAACAACACGCAGTTGTTGATTGTTCCCAACTTCCTTGGGCTCTTGTTGCCGGGCTGTGCGGCCCCGCCCCCATTGTCCTTACCCTCTGGCTTTTCTGGCTGCTGTTAAATTATGCATTAAGAACCCCAAACCCGCACAAAGGAGAAAATGAGAATGCAAAAAAAAAAAATGGAAAGGAAATGGAAATGTTTAAAAATACTGGCTGCGAAAATTCTGGCACATTTCTTTTTGGGTGTCCACAGTAAATTATGCAAATTAATGTTTGTTTGTGATTTGGTTGGTCTTTTTTCTGGTTTGGTGTTTCGCTTTAGGCCAAGGTGGCCAGGAAAATGTTTAGATTTAGTGTTTTCTTAAGTTTTTATGACCAGGTTTTTATTCATGTTTGAGGAAATTTAGTGCAGGGATAAATTAAGGTTTGGTCGAGGATGGTAAAAACCGATTTAATCGGATGAGAAAGATATAGTTTATGGGAGGTTTATGTTTATAGTTTGTTCAGCTCTTTAAAGTATTAGAACAAATATTTATTAAGTTAATATATAATGTTGGAAAAAATGTTTGCTGTATTCCCATTTCTTTCTTTTTAAAGTTTTAACCTGCTTATTTTTCGTTTATTTAAAAATGGTTTCTTTCTAATGAAGTGTTGTGAGAATAAATATAAAAGGTAAAGCATTATAATAGTTATTAAGGAGTTTTTTATGAGATTTAAAATCTAAGGCAACCCATGAAGAAAAACTTAAAAGGTTTCCTTCAATTTAATCCTACAAGCCATTGCCCACTATCAAACTTCAATAGCCAATTTAATCCTTACAATAAATCTTTCTTTCCAATGTATTTTTTATAAATTTTACAAATGCCTTTTCACACCTAACTTGCTGCTCTTTTTACCTTTCACCTCTGTCGGTTCTCATTCGAGCAATTTGCGCCGAATTATTTGGCCACATTTCGGCGCCTTGGCCATAATTCACTTTATTTTTCCCGCTTCTCCTATTTCTACGGATTTCCTTGGGCCACCTCTATTTGTCTGTGTTCGAGTCTCTGGTGGCTTATATTTACTATTTGGCTAACGCGTCTTAAGAGCCAAATGTTCCTCGATTCAACCAGGAAATTGTCGCCTGCTATTTGTGCGTGCTTTTCGGGGCCAACTGTCGCCGTCTGTGTTTTTAGATGTTTATTAAATCGGCGGAGCCAAGGCAGAAGTTTCATTTTGCAGTCTATTAAAGAATTTTATGTTCTTTTTTTTTGTTTTTATTTCCTTTGCAGCTGGTCTGAGTGTAGTTTATGTCTTCCTGGGAATTGTAACAAGATTTTACGGCTTAATTCTCTGGTGGCAGATGAGCAGCCGAAAATGAAAAGTTAAACTTCCTGACTAGGAAAATTTCCGAGGCATAAAATTAAAGTCAATCTAAACTTTATAGTTTGGCTTAGCAGAAACTTTTATATTGCATTGAAAAGAGCTGAAATTTTAACACCAAACTTATCACTCAGCCCGGCTACTCTCTCTGCGCTCAGTGGAATTACTAATTTGGGTAAATATTTGGTTCATTATTCAAGGCTCAAGGCTGTTCTGAGAACTGGAGGGTAACTCCGAACTAGGGCTGTGAAAAAGGACTAATTAAAAAGCCTGGTCTGATGGGCACTTTGCCATTCTGTCTTTAACATTTCCCTTTTCAATTTTTGGGGGCCAAGGTTTCGTTTCTGCCAAAGAGGATGAGTGTATTTTGTCGTCTGTCCATTTTTGATTGCCCCCAAAAAGTACACGAGAAAGTTTCTACACTTTTTCACTTCTTCAACTTTTGCTTACACAATGTTGAAAAAAAAGAGCAAACCCGGTTGGGTTAACTTGGCTATAATTAAAGGTTCGTCTATGTCTGGCCCTTTTTTTTTTTGGGCTTTTATTTTTACTGCTGCTGCTTTTTGGTTACACGCGGCGTATGTGTTTTGGGTGCTCGAGAGAGTCATTAAGAGTTGCTCGAGTGTGTGAGTGTCCTGGAAATCCATCTAAAAATTATACGAAAAAGGGTTGTTCAACTTTCTATCCCCTGGTGTGGTGGACTTTCACACCCACCGGCTCCCCTCGAAAATAAAACCACCATGGGAATTTGAGCAAGGAAAAGTTAAAGTTCGTTAAGCTGATTAGATGACTGGGTCTGAAGATGCTCTGGCATGAAAATTGCCTCCTGGAGACATCTCAACGGATAATCCACAGCACAATTGGTGTCAACTTCTTGAGGTCTCCATTAAGGGCTTCCGCTTGACAATAAAATAATTTTGGGCAAAAACAAGAGACCAGTTACCGAAAATTATGGCCATAAAAAGGGCTTCTAAGGGACGTACGCTAAAAATGTGCCTCTCTAAAACTGGACGATTAATATTGTAAATAAAAATACGACTAAAAATTAAGTTTGTCTTACTACAAATTAAAATTATTACTTCCTAAATTAAACCCTAGGAAATTCTTCGCCTTTGAAAATGTTTCTTTCTAAGCTCCTGACTAACTTTGCTATCTTTTCTCTTATCTTTGCAGTGTAGAAAAATGTAAAAAGTCGACTAAAACATATATCTATATACACACATATAAATATTTGTTTGCCTGCAAAATTATTTTCAACTTTAATTTCAACGAAACGAAAATAGAAACAAACCTATAAACGAAATCGAAACAAACCGAGAAAACGTATAAAAACCAAACGGGTTAAACGCTTGCATGTAGACCTTAGATCCACATAGTCAAAAATAAGGAAACTATTAAAGAAACGAATTAAACAAAAATAAATGAAAATTTACTAAGAAACGGAAAGAAGTCGCAGCTAATTTCTGGTTCGTATAACTCCATTAGAAGGCGATTAGAGTATTGCAGGAAGAAAGGCGCGGGAAAACCCGCTGCAGTGGCTGAAGTGCCAACGATAATTCAATCAAGGGGTTGGAAAAGTTGACGGGAAAACTGCTTCTGCTTCTAAGAAAAAGAAAAGCAGAACAAAACAAAGAAAAGTTCATCAAAACACTCGGATAAAGTGGAAAACGTGTGTGCGTGTGCGCGTGTGAAAAACTTTCAGCAGCAGGCCGAGGGTTTTAATTTTCGATAGTTTACAAGTTCCGCCAGTCAGCTGGAAATGTCCATGGCCATGGACCATCATCATCAGCCACGTCAGCATTGCCACCTCAGCATGTGGCCAACATTCGCCGTCTGTCTGCTCCTCCTGCAGGCAGCCACCCCAACAATGGCTATCGATTTGAGCCGCCTGTACGGACACATGGCCAATCCCATTGTGAAGCGGAATGGTAAGTAATCGAACGTAACTCCATCGTCTTTAGATTGCTAGCTCATTAGGGGCGCACCTGGTCTTTACGCAATATGGGGTGGGTCGTTTTTGGTATATTTGTTTTTGTGGATTTTTGTTTAAGCCAACTTCCATTCAAAGATTGGCCTTCACTCTGCTGTAAGGTCCTTCTTGTTCAGGGGCCAGCACTATTTTTCTTTTCTGGCTCTTAGTTCACCATGCCCTAGTTTATTTATTGCCCCCTCTCAGCCTTTAATTCCAATAAATAAATATATACTTTGCTTGTTTTTTTTGCTGAATACCACAAGGGGAATTTGCTACTTTTCCTTTCTTTTAATTTAATTTGGGTTTTATTTATTTTTACTATTTCACCTGGCAGGTGAGCTGCATAATTACCGTGCAGGCACTTTTTATTTATGTTTTTTGTTTCGTTTTCATTCCATTTCTCTTTTTGCAGTTTTACGGACTTTTTATTCGCGTGTTTATAGTGGCCATTGATGAAAATCTTTGGCTTTCCGTTTAAAGTTTATGTAAATGGTATTTTTTGAGGTAGTTGGAAATTTTTTAATTGGCCTTTCTAGGCTGGGGTTTTTCCACAATTTGGTTCGTGCTGGAATTTCCCCAGCTTTCTGCCAATATACTTTTTATATTATTTAATTAACGCCCGTGGGCCAGAGTTGATTCTGTGGCATTTGAAACATGTCAGAAATGATTTCGCTTATAATTAAATTATTCAGGCATCAAGCATGCATTGTGAGCCCTCAAACCAAATAAGTAATTAACTCAAGCCTGGACAATAAATTGGCGAACAAGTGTTTGGCCAACTTAATTTGCGGCATTACGGCCATGGGCCACGAATAGACTTCAATTAGTCAGTTGCTCAATTGGTCATTAATTGCCGCCTGTCGCCCGGCCGCTTCATGAATATGCAAAACAAAATTATTATTTTGTTATACTAAATTTTGTGGACGGCTCATTAAACGCTTAATGTCAATTTGCCGGGTCAACCAAAACTAATATGTTGAAAATTCAATTTCTAGAATCTTCCACATTCCTTACATTCGACACTTTTGGCAGCTTTACCTGTACTTATCTGATAAAAGAGAACACGATTTCCTCATTTCCGTTTCCTTTTCACCCACAGTACGTCAGTTTCAGTAATTGCACTTTAGAAAGCTCGAAAAAAATCCATTTACGCCGTTTGAGGAATCACAAACCTGTCAACCGCAAAGTGGCCACCGTTTCCATGAAAACCTCAAGGTTTCACCTTAAACACAGTGCAAAACGCTAGGACTTGGTTACTAGTCAAATAGCTTCCTTAAAATTCTATTAAAAATTCTCTCTTTTGTAAGTTATTTTCTTAACCTTGTTTAACAATCTTAATTTAAAAAATACATTTCTTAAAACTTTTCCTAAGATAAACCCTTAACCAATTTGTCGCCATTCCCCCTTTACCAATTTCTCTTTCTAGAGAACCAACTTTGCAGGAAAGTGTAATAATTTTAGTTTTTCTGTCAGTGACAACATATTTTATGCTGCAATTTCCCGCAGAAAAGAAAGTCGCTGCATTTTCTCGGGGCTTGTTAACCCGCTTGCTGCCTTTACTTAACACAGGATCCTTGGGGGATTTTTTGGGGTTTTAAGGTTTGGTTTTGGTCAGGGGTTTCTACTAAGTTTATTTATTGTGGCTCGCTTTTGTGCTCCACGGCATTCTGGCTTTGTGACGGACGATAACGAGCGTGGGTTCCCTGGCAGGTCGTGGCATTGTGTGTTGGTCGTAATTTTTTTTGGTCAGCTGCCTTGCCGCACGTTGCCGGAGCAGTTAATAAATGTGCCAGCGCCAGAATTCAACAGAAGTTCAGCTGAAAGCACTCTGGAAGCCAGCTCTCAGTGACAGCTTGAAAGGGTTTTGCTTCACTTCCTTTTCCTTTTCATCATGAAAGCATTCATTATTCCATGATTGAGTTGCATTGTTTCTCGCTTTCACTGCGTCCATTCGCCAGAAAATTGATTGACACTTTTTAAAATGGGTCCATATGAAAAACGGTACGTTAATTGGAGCTGATGAAATTGATGTGCCACGCCATCAGTTGATTAAAACTTTAATTTAAAATTATCAAACCGTAATAAAAGTTTATAGGAATTTTAATAGCTATGTTGGTTTAACTTTTTTTAAAGAAAACTACTTAATAAATAATGTCTTTATTGTGAATGGTAATAAAAGTGTTATATGTTTATGAAATACTAGAGAATATCTTGAAACATTGTTAATAAAGGTCAATTTTTAAGTTTTTTAAAAACTAAAATAATTACAGAAACCTGTTAAAAAAAAAAATTTTCTAAATTTTCAAATATCTTTTTGCATGGTATTTTGCCTGATTCAATTGATTTTTCTATCTCCTTAACTTGTAACATGTGTTAAGGTTCGTAAATTTCCGTTTGCTACCGTTTAAATATTCATTTAGTAGCGTCGCCTAGAGTATCATAAATATTAAGCGAATAATTCAATTAGTTTTACGAGCGTACTCAAGTCCGGTCTTACTGCATAAATTATGTAATATTTGATTTGTTTTTGGCTAATGTGTTCTTCGAAGAGGGCCAAAAATCATGGCAGTTGGTCGGGGAGTTCACAGTGTTCCATCTGGCTGGATGTGTGGTGACTTAAGCGGCAACAAATGGCAAACAAAACGTAGCATACTGGCTGGCATTCGCTGGAGCGTGCTCCACATGCAAATAGCATGGCCCACCGAAAAGAAAAAAAAAAAAAAATACGAGCTCGAGGCAAGGCTGCAAGCCCTGTGTGCAACTACTGAGCCAACTGATGGACATATTGGCTTACAAAACAGTCCGTGGACTTGGCCATTTCCACTTACGTGATCGCTCCAACTGCAGCTGCCACAAAATGAAATTTCCATAAAAGCAAAGCCGCAAAATAGCAAACGCTAAAGCCAAGACCAAAATCAACAGAGCGCTCAGGCAAAAGCTGAAACGTGATTACGCCAAGCATTATGGCCAACAACAACTGTGTTTGGCATTCAAAAGTTGCAGCCAACTAGACTCCAGTTAGCATTAACTTGCCTTTACCAAAAAGGCATTTAGCCCAAAACGGCAGACATGCTCTTGAACCTGAAAGTCTCTGAATAATTTTATTAGCAACTTTCGGCCCCGACTTCTCGACCATGTTTCCTAATTAATTCTCTTGGTCGAGCATTTTGCGTGGTCTCTAATGGGTTATAAGTAAGCTAAAAGATGCGGAATTCGAGCTGGGGCTAAACTTTTAATGGGAATCCAGCTGCGGATTTTAATTGTAACAAAAAGGGGTAAGTGGGCGTTAACAGTAAGGGTGCCCAAAATAAACATCTAGGGTTACGTCTATTTATACTTTTTTAACGGATTCATTAAGTGAAAGTTTATTTTTATACCTTTTAGGAAAAGGTTCATAAAATATTTAGTTACGTAGAAAATTATTTAGTAAATGGCATAAAACGGTCACCTTTCGGAACTTATCCTTCGAATTTCCTAAATCTAAGCATATTGTTGCATACATTTAGGCATTACTTCTGATTTTTGTGAAACTCTGACAGATATAAATTATTTTAAGTAAATGTAACTATCACTATCAAAAAGAGAGCCTCAAAAAAATAGCCACCCATTTAATAACAAGTGTCAAAACATAAAACCAAAAAATCCATATGGATTTGAAACCAATTAATTCGACAGAGAATGGTAGGTGTCGAACCAACCCATAGTACTCATAAACGATAAGGACGAAGTCCTGCTGAAAAAAGGGAAATATTTATTGTTATTGCCATGGCTAGTTGGTAGCTACCCGGTGTAAATAATAGCTGTATAAATTCTGAAAGAAAGTGAAACAAAATGCGAACAAAATACGTTTGAAAACATTGCCCTGGACAGGGCAATTTTCCTGGTAATTTACAAATAGCCATAAATTCATGTGCCGAAAGGTATGAAATCGGAAGACGATATTGGTTGGATGCAACGTATGCGATAAATTTAATTATGCTGACAGTTTAATTATGCTTGATTGCCAAGATTTATATCGTGGCGGCACTAGAGTTTGTAAACTCGGCCGGCCACTGATATGCAAATCTATGAATATTTAGTAGATGTGCGTATGCAAATTGAGTGGCTCCATTGGGTTCGCTTCAGCTGGGTCACGTATACGCCGCGTTGCCCATGGACACCGATCAATCCACACTTTGTCCCCATTAACTCGGTAAACTGTCAACTGGCTTACCGAATATAATCCAACAAATGGCCATCATCAAGTTGTTGTTCTGTATGCTTGTGTATCTGTGTGTATTTGGATATGTCAGTGAAATTGGTTGTGGCAATGTATGGAAGGTCATTAAAAAGTCTGCGGTGGAAGATTGCATTTCATTTTGATACGACAATTATGTCGCTGATATTTCGCAAGGGAAAAGTTTTCACTTGCCAACGGATATGGTTTTAAGTTACGCCTTGTTCTTCGCTTCAATCGATGGCAATTGATTTTTACTCGTTAAATGGGGATTTCAGCACTGCCGCCCGAGATTATCAATTTGTTCATAAAAATGTTTATGGTTTCTGTCCCGCCTTAAAGTCTTTTTCCGCTCCAGACGCAGACGCCTCGAGTCATAACTAAATGTATTTTCTTTTGAATTTTCTTCCTTTTTTTTTATGGCATCATATTATTTTATGATCCAAGTCTCACTCTCGCCTTGGAAATATTTGTTTTATATGTTGTCAATTTTTACGGCCCAGTCTGCCGGGTAAAAATGCCTTTCCTCCTTCACTGGGCATTCATTGTTGCCTCATTTATTATTTATTTGCTGCGCACTAAAAGTTTGCCAAGCCAAGGCAAGACCCAGAAAACCTACCCGTGTAATATGCAAAAAAAAAGGAAGAAAATGTAGAAAACACCTAGAAGCAGGAAATTTTAGCTGCGTTACTCATACGCCGCGTTGGTTATATAAATAGACCCATTGAGCTAGGTGAAAACACCGGTTTTTCATTAACAAAAGTGTCGTCTTGGGTAAATAGTTCGCTGGAATGGGTAAACAGAAATTACTTTATTGATTTTCCGGTCAAGAAAAGGCCAGACTGAAATATGTTCTTGAACTTGAGGGCCCTTTAAAAGAGAACTAGGAAAAACTATTTCCACACTATTGATTGCTCAAGTTCTGTGGGCTGTTGCTAGATGATAAATGGCAAAATGTATTTGCAAATCCGCCAGGCAGCTGAGTTGCCAACTGCTTAGCATACTTACACATTTATGGCCAATGCCAGCCAGGCCAAGATATTATTTGAAATGGCAAATGCACAATACATAAAATCCAATTTCCTCGCAAAAGAAGCTCTTGCAGACACACACACACACACTGGCACAAATGGAAATCTGTGGTCCGTAAAGACCAGCAATGGTTCGAAGGGACGGAAGAGATAACCACAGAAGCAGACAACTGAAGAGCTTTCTCAGTGGAAATCCACTTGTGACTTGCGCATTTCTACGACTCTAGCCCAGATGTCTTAGGCCACTTTGCCACATCTCAGTTTTGCATATCCAATTTAGCTGGAAAATGCATTTTGGGTCTATGCTCGTATCTATGCATCTGTGTTGACTGGCAAATGGCAACACCACGTCCAAGTGGAGGGTCAGGTGTGGCTGCGATTTCAATATTATGTATTTGTGCACTTGCCCCCTCCGCCAGCCACAATTTTCCCTAAATTGATTTACTTAAGGGGAGAGGTTGGGCAGGAGCAGTGAGCAGAAGGCACACAGAATACCTCCGCACATTTGCGCGAGTTTTCCAGGCATTTTCACAATTTTCACTCATGTGCAAAGTATGCATAACATTTACCTTTTACCTGAACGGTTCGTGGCATGTGTGAGAAATTAACATGGCCATACTTGTGACACTAACTAATGCAAAATAAAATTTCGCTTTTCCTTAATTAAGTTTCTTGCTGCTGAAGGAGGGCTGGAAAAACTTCGTCTGACACCTTATGACGGAACTTGTAATTAGTTAGAAAGCCTTTTGATTACATTGCAATTGGTCTTACGGTTATTACCACATTTTCTTAACAAAGTCTGAAAATTAATTTTGCAACTCTTACCATTTATATCTCAACTGAATTTCATTAGACAAATATCCATTAAACTTAATGTCCTTAAAGACTTGGTTGTGAAAATGTGTGTGGAATATTTTCTTGCTTTCCACAAGGCGGGATAATTGAATTGACATTTCGGCCTGTTGAATAATTCAATAAACAAATTCAATGCGAAGTTCGCCTAAAATGAGGAAAATATAATTACCCCCGTAATTATTTATGATCTAACCTGGACCGCAAAGCATATTTAAATTTATTTGCAATTTGCTGCGGTCGGCAGGTGTAAATTTCCATTGGCTTTGTATCGTTGTTCTTCTGCGGTTAGTCAATGCCTCTAACCCACTTGATTACGCCAACCGGCAAATATACTCGTCCACAATTCGCATTCGGTTTCAAATCAAAATGGTAAATGGAAAATGGAAAACTTTTTACCCAGGCACATGCCGACATTGTTGGCCAAAACTTATCGGTGTGTGTGTGTGTGTTTGTGGGGGGGTGGGGATGTGCGTTTTGAGAGTGAAAATTGAGTGAAGTACACGTAAACAAAGGGAAAGTTTTCATGCATTTGAAATGTGAAAAGTTTTGCCATGGAAGTTCAAGGCAGCCGTCGCAGTGATGGTCAACATTTTTTTGTTGAATTTTTTCACTTTTCTCCAGGTGAGAGAGATGTTGGCCTCAGGGCTGTCTGAACGCTTTTCCAGTTTCCCATTTTTCTGACGGTAAGCTGTAAGTGCCGTGATGAAGTGCACCCGAGTTATCGTCGGAACGAGCTGCAGCAGCATAAGCCAGATTAAATGTATTTTCCATTACGGTTGCATGCCACTTTTGGCCAAAGTAGACACCTAGACACCGAGACACCAAGGCAGTTTGCAGCTCTTCTTCAACCAGTTTGCAAGTGGCCAAGAGTGTGTGAGCTTGGCCAAATGGATGTGGCCATGTTTGCCTCCAGTTAGGTATATGTATGTATGTGTGTATGTCGCCTGAAAGCAAACTCAATTTACCGCCTTAACATTAGGAAGCTGTTTCGGTTAGCTGCACACGTTCTGTTCTGATATTTGCAACCAATTACTCTGGTTAATTAAAAAGTCATAACGTTTTCTGACGTCGAAAAGGTAAGGTTGTTTGGGAATGCCGTTTAAAATGCGTTTATTCAATTAGAAAATATAAATAAGGCCTTAAGCTTTTTATTTTCATTGATAAACTAGCAGCTTCCCTTCATTAATTCGCAGCCTTCATAGCTTAAAATAAAATACGCTCGTTTTACATAAAAGTACAAGTACTCGTTTTAATACGTCTTTAATAAGATATTATAAATAATAGGCAGATCTTTAATAGATCTGCTGACACTGTGAATTTTGCTAACTTGAAATTTAGAGTGCTGATATTGGCTGATTCGCAGGACCTTTCATAACTATGCCTCAGGTGCGACTTCGGTGATGGATCCTTGCTTGGTGGCCTCTGGGGATCCAGCCTCTGCAGGTGCCTCATCCGGATTAGTGGGCACCGTTTTGCCGCCAAGAGCCAGAAGTGTCTCCGGTGGTACCTCCGGAACGTGTTCCTCCTCACCCTCTTCTTCAAGTTCACCCAACTTCTCCTCAGGCTCCGGAGGCAGCCAGCAGGTGCCCTTGACCAAGCGATCTTCGATCTCGGCAATTTCGTTCTTGTAGTACTGATTGAAGTCCTGGACGTTCCCATATACTCTTGACCCATTGCAAGTTGAAGTCCATTTTTGTGCAGCAACAGAATTTCCTCGATTTGTGGCATTTGGGGCATTTGGCCGGCTGGCGAGCAGGATGTGTGTACTGCTGCTTTTGCTTTTTCTTGCAACAATATGGACACACATGCTTGGGCTTCTTTTTGCCGGAGGAGGAGCAGGGAGCTGGCTCCTTGGCATAAACTAGATGACCCCGCTTTTTGGCACAGAAACAGCAATTACAATCATCGCCCTCAGGTTGCTTCTTGCGTGTCTGCATTCGATCGTAGAACTTCTTGAAGGCTATCTTGATCTTGGCCTCGTAGGCCAGCTGATCGCTGCAGGAGAGACCATCAAATCGGGCAAAGGATTCAGCTGACTTCCTGGCCGCATGAACCCAAACACACTCATCGTTGTAGGAGGGTCTGCCCTGATCATCATAGGTCAAATCCTGTTTGGGCTCATAGTAGAATGCCTTGAAACCTCGCTTGATAATGGCATAGGCCAAGTGGGCTTCAACCTTGTTCATCAGCGACTTCTTTACCCAGTTCATGGAACAAATCCTCCTTTCTCAAACGTTTCTTTGGAGTCGTATCTATGCAGTAGCACACTTGATCGTAGTGCAGGAAGGCATATGTGATTATGTCCACCGTTGACTTGGCCTTGCACTCGTGCAGTCCACAGATGATCATAATCTGGGACAAAGTGTTGGCCAGATCCAGAACATTTTCCAGAAATATCGAAGATGCATTGACTTCACCCAGGCACTTGCACTGAGTATGTTGATCGATTATTCCCAAGGGAGCATGTCTTTGGCACTCCTTGTGTTGGCAATTATTCCGGCACCGGAAATCGGGCATCGCATGATGGGCTTGCATTGTAAATAGGTCTTACCTAAAATTTTATTCTCTTTTTTTTACTCCGTTCAGCATGGAAATTTTTCAATTTTTTTTTCCTAAAAATTTCTGTAACTGTTTGATAAAACGAGACAAGCCAAATGAATGTGTGTTGAGTAAATGCTTGCCTGACAGGCCTTAACAGCAGCTACTAGGTTGGGCGTTTTAGAAAATGTCAACAGATTACCATATTCATAAAGTGAGAGAATATAAAGTTTCTAGAATAAGTTGTAATACCTAAAGTGTTAGAATTTAAAAGTGATAGGAAATCAAATTTAAAGTAGTTTAACACATTGAAGGAGTTAGGATACACAGAACTAAGTATGAAATTCCCCCTTTAAAGAGAATTTAGTAAACTTTATATATCTAAAAAACAAAATGTAATAGCCTTGCAAAGCCAAATTGTAAGAACCGTGTTTCTATACCCATAAATAAACATGGGTGTCATGTTAACGCAGCCGAAGCCTTAGGATTTTCTTCGAAAATTTGGTTACTTTCTTGGCTTTTCGTGTTGACCAGGCCCAAACGGCATTTGATACGGCCTAGATTGTTTGAGCAGTGTTTTCGTTTGTTTGCCCAATCCATCTAGACACGTATAAGTTTCGATGGGTCAAATATTTGCTTAGCCAACAGAACAGAGGAAATTTTTCAGGGCGCCGCCAAGTAGGCAACACAACGTTTCATTTCTCCTCTTTTTTGCGGCCTTCGTAATGGATGTCCTTTTTTTCGGTCGGGATACATTCGTAATTGTTGATGACGGCATTGAGTCAAGTTTATGATTCGTTTGGGAGCGGGAAATGCGTCTGGCGCTTTGGCATAAATAAAGTACGACATCCTGCTCTCAACTCGCTGCTCTCAGTTCCCAGGGGAAACGTCAGCGCAAATACATCAAAGAATTTATTAGACAAGCTTTGCCATATCCGTTTCCTGTTGACAAATGCCACGGGAAGACTGAAGAGTCATCTAATAACATTTTTCTAAATGGCTATGGCAAAGCAAAAACAAAAATTGCTGACAAATGTAAATCTCCATTTGCTTAACATCACTCTGCCACGTTGACCCTTGCTTATCTGGGAAATTGTTGCACTTTTGACCTTTTGGCCATAAGTGTAAGTATGCTGGGCTTTAGCCTGATTATGCCTGACGTATAAAAGCCGCTTAATCTGTATCTTGCGAAACAAAACTGGTAAAGTCATAAAAACTTTGCTTAAGTCATAATGAAATAGCAGCAGGATGCGGGCCTGAAGATTGAAGCAATTTCAATCCCGACAAGATTCTTTTGTTTTTCCTTTAAGCTGAAGTGCAACTACGTAACTCATAAAACTTGAGCAATCGCGCATAAATCTTGGCCAGACAAAATGGCCAACTGTTGTTGGTCCTGCCTTGCTTTGTTGGCCTGATTTTCTTGGAAGGAGAAAAAAAAAAGAAGAACAATCGCCTGAAGTAGAAATCGTATTCGTTTCTTTAACAATAAAAGTTGACAGCCTGGAACTGACACGTGGCGATGGCCAGGTGGCAACAGGAGAAGCCGTCTGGTGGATAAAGTTACAATCGAAACAATTTCTATGCCGGACAAATATAAAATACCTTTGCAAATTGTTTTTATATAGGGTAATGGCCAAGGAACAGGGTATATAGTACTCGTTGATGATCATGTAACAAGAGGTAATAAGCAAACTTCCTTACTTAAAAATCTTTATCTAAATGCATAACTAAGTCTTGGGAAATATAACAATAATATTCTTTTAGTCCCAATAAATATTAAAACAAGTGAAAAATAAAAGTATGTAATAACAATTTTAGATATCCAAACAAACTTTAACTGCCTGCCTGATAAATCGTTGTTCTGCCCAAAGTTTAAGCTGGCCTTTTACACTCTGTTAAACTTTCTCCGCAGAGCTGCTCTGTAAATAATCTAGCAGAGAAAGTTGTTGATATTCTGGGGCTTTAAAAATATCAATCAACTGAATTTCGGGACCATCCAAATATAAGCCTAGCTAACCCACATTTATAACTCGCTTAGTCTTTGGCACGTACCTAAAATTAGTGCCCACTGCTCACACATACACACACGTATACATTCGCCTGTAAGGTCCACGTCATTCGCATAAAACCCTTTAATGGTTATGCAGGCACCAATTACCATTAAAAACGGACAGCCTCGGCTGAAATGTATACATGCACATACTGCCCGGCAGTTACATATACATATAGGAAAAAAATGAAAAGCGGGTGAAAAAAAAATAGCAAAAATCAATATATATGTATGCCGTGCGAAGGACTCGAAAAACGCAGCTGAGATTGAAAAATCCTCGAAGCGGTGCGCGGTTTTTTTTAGCTAAGCGACTTGCTATGATTTCCTGCTTTTTGTAGCCGCTACTTGCGGTCGTTAGACGTGCCATGATTTATAATACCCTGAGATGGCTATCCACTCAATAAATGCATATATTGTGTAACCCAGCCCTCAAATATGATGAACTAAGTGAGCTTTATCACGCCTTAGAACAAATGTGGTGTGGGGAACATTTATTTTATATTTTATATTTTATTAAAATTAACAAAAAATTCAACTCAGAAAATATTAAAAATATTCCTGAGGCCTGCCATCTTTGTAAGATTAATAGAATAAAAAATATTATTATTTAATATATAAAAGATAAAAATATGGCTGACTTTGAAGAATAAGTTGCAATAAATGAAATAGAAAATTATTTTCTTCTGTAAAGTCAACAGATTTTCTATATTTAAGCAAGATGGTTTTACTTTCATAATAAAGTTGGTTGTCATTTCGGAGTATACGTAATATTTAACAAGAATAAATTTTAGCTGAAGGTACATCAAGGATTTGATTCTTTACCATTTTTATATTTTTTTCCCATTTTAAATACACTTGCTTAAAGGACATCCCCTCTTCGTTCTGACTTGGCTAATTTACTCGAGTACTGATTTTCGCTGCCCTTTTTCGTGTGCATGGCCAAATGGCAGGACATAAATCTGCAAATGTGATAAATGGTTATAAAGCCAAGCGTAATGTTTATTTAAAATAATGATGATGATGAGCAGCTGCAGCTGCTTGCCATTACAGCACCCGCCGCACTCCTTTTCGTCCTTATTTTCTCTCCTTTTTTATTTTGAGTATGTAAATGGCCGCGGACCTTTGATGGCTACCCAAAAGAAGGATGCGCCATTGAGGGTGTGTTTGGGCTGAGTAAGTGGCTCTTTTTAGCGGGACAGACAGCTGTTAAAGTTCAGCTGTCAATTATTCATAAAATTGCGTATACGTCTGCACTCATTACGCATACGCCGCGTGCGCCATTCGAACGCGTGTGCTTGGATCGCTTTCATTTCGCTTGGCTTGTATTAATTTGATTTATATACCACCACACGACATTTGTCCCTTATATTTATTGCGTTTTTGTGGTTTTGCCTTAACATATATTTGCATAATTGAGCTCCAGACTGCCTCAATCTGAATGTTTGATTTATGTGCCGTGGACTCCCCTGGAAAACTTTGCGGCTAAGTCTCATAATTTCGAGCAAATGTTCCTTAGGATATTTGTGTTTATAATTTACGCACGAAATCGAAAAACTTTCTCTTGACTTTGCTTTGGCTTATTATTATTTTGTCTGTTGCTAGATTTGCATAAAATTGTAGGCAGCCTAATGGAAATAAATTGAGTGCGGGAACTTCTTTTTAAAATGCAAATGTTCACATTATCTGGGCTTTAAATTCACATAATTATTGCTAATTTGCATTTTGTTTGGACATGATTTAGCTTTGAGGGTTTAAAGTTTTTTCTGTACTGCTTTAATCTAGTTAATGACCAACTTTAAGGTAGTCCCCTGGCTGAGTGTAATGTCAAATCAATACAGTGTTTTGTAACCTCAATAAGCCTCCTTGACAAATTGGCCCTCGAAAAGGCAATCGGGGGTGGAGAGAGTTCGAACCTCTGTCCTTCCTATCTCTGGACATTGATCGGACAACAAATTATTTTAGCCCTGTCCCCTAAGGCCAATCAATGTGGTATCATTACAAAGCCATTAAGTTGGCCAATCAAAACCATGCAAAAAGGACCACAGAAAAACACCCACGGACAGAACATGACTCAATGTAATTCAATCAGAGTGCCAGTTAAATGGCACAAGTCCTCGTTAGTGGAAATATGCTGGTCTAATATCAGATATGGCCCATTAGATAAAGCTTCAATTAAAAAGGTCTTTCATCATTAGATAATTGCCTAGTTAATTACTCAAAGCTAAAAAATTATCAAGACTAACGAAGTCCGATTGGTATATGTTGAAAAAGAGGCTATGAAAATCAGCTAGAAAACGGAAAATTCCTCTTCCAAAGGCCTAGGCAATGTCAACATTATAGACGTGGGAATTTTGGCCCTTTGATTGATTGATTTGGCCATGAGCTAAATGAATTCATCATCCACATTCGAGTGTGTGTATCCTCGGCGCAAGCTAATTTATCATCTGAATCAATCGAAGAACAGGCAGCGGAATCGAAACAGCTGAGAACGATGAATTCGATGAAACTAATCAAATATGATTGAGGGCTCTAAATAGATAGAACTGGCATTCAATCAAATTGGAAAGTAAATAGGCTTTTAAGGCACATTTGGAATATAATTTTAATTAATGTACCTACTGTGAAAATTTTAAATTTTCCGCTTTATAGAATTGACTTTTTGTACTTTATTATAACCTGAAAGGTTTTACCTTGCTGTCTTTCCTTATAACCCAATTCAGTGAGTCCCAGCTGAACCTTAATCAATTTATCGTTCGATATTACAAAAATGTTTCTCTCTTTAAATATTTAAAGCGTCCATTATGGGTTCTTCGGGTTTCTCTGGAATAAAATTGTATGTTTACGAGATGGGTTTTTAAAGTATCTTCTGGAAAACCCTTTCTCTCTTTCTATTTTTTAGCTTAAATAAAAAAATATACTAGAAAACCTTCAAATTATCAGCCTTTTTTATGTAAAATACAAAATTTCATAAAAATTTATATTTAAAATCTTTGTCAATAACCAAAGATTTTTATGTCTTATCTCTTGACGGTGTTAAAATGAACAAAAATATTCGTTGCCTTCGATTTTATAATCCCCTAAAATTGGATCCCC